AGCAGCCACCCGCACGCATCCAGCAAGAGCCAAGAAGTCTCTGCCTGCGCCTAATGAGAGGCGACCAAAGAACCTGGAGGCCAAGTGACACCCCCAGCCCCCAGTACAAGGCTGGGGCGCCTGCCCTGCCACCTCCCTCCTCTTCAGTTTTGATGACGACTCTTTTAGGGCCAACCAAAACAGCTCATTCTGGGGCAGCACAGTCAGCCCATCACTCCACGGAGTGAGCTGCTTATCTTTAAAGGTCCCTTCTGGCCCAAACCATTCTGTGAGCTGCCAAATCAGACATTCAGTGTCTGCAGAAACCATTCTCGGGATGGGACACAGCCAGCACCCAAGCCAAAGGGTCTTTGGGTTCCCTCTATCTGGCCGTGGAGCTCCTGCGGGGGGTAACAGGTAGCAAACAGCACCGACACCTTGCAGAGCCGGGGCCGGGCTCCCAGCGGGTGCGGGCAGCAGCTGGAGGCAGCTCTCAGAGCACTGACAGCACGTGTTCATGGAGAACCACAGAGTCCCATTAGCTTGAGCGTGTCACAGCAAAATTTGCTTTGGATCAGGAGTTGATTTTGTACAGAGATGGCTTTTAAGTGACGGGGAGGCACCAAGCAGCTGCTCCAGGGCAGCCCCTCGCCGGGTGCCCCAGGGGGGCAGAGGCCAGAGGCTCGCCTCCATCTCGCAGTCCCCACCAACTGTTTGCCTCCAGGCAGGGGGCCGCACACCCGTTAAGTGTTCTCAGACAAAAGCATCCTTCATCCGTGGCTGTGAGCCCCTTGGTGAACAAAGTGCCATATAGATTGCTATGGGAGTCACATGAAAGCTTACGCAGATTTAAGGTTCAGAGAATTAAGGAGTTACAGTGAGGGGGGGAGGCAGGAGCTGCTCTCAGGAATCAACCCCTCTCCTAACGCAAATCCCAAACTCCATACATTTCTTCTCCATCCAGCACGGAGCTGGCCACACCTTCCACAGCTGCCCTCGTAAGCAGGAGGAGGGGGTAATAAAACACAACTGAAAAGAACGATGCTCGATGCCTCAGAGCTGCCCTTTAGAAACCACTCAGCAATATCCCAGAGAAGTTATTTAGACGAGAGCCGTGCGGATTAGCAGGGAGCTCCTCGCACCACCGCAGATAATAAGATTGCTGACTCTGATCTCGGTTCTGGAGCCGGCCCAGCTCGTGCTACCTTCAGCTCCTTTCCGTGGTGTGCCCAGCTTGTGGCGCCAGGCGCTGCTCAGCTCTGCGCGCTGGCCCTTCCTTTGCCAGCAGCCAAAAAACCGACCCGGCACCCCCACGGGCCTCGCACGTCCCCGTGAACGACCCCGGCAGGGCTCCTGGGCAGGAGAGGTGCAGGCACCAGGCACCACCTCCACCGAGAGCCTTTTGTAGGACACGTTCCCAGCAGCTCAGATGTGAGGCACGCTTTATGAGGTAATCGGATTACTCTTTCCTTTAAAGGATTAACAGGGCTCGGGCTGGCCCCTCTTCTTTAAAAAGAAGCCATCTGGAAGCGGAGCGCCCCGTGCCCCCTCCAGGCTGGCAGCAGCCATCTGCTGCCCCAGGGGAGATGACTGCGAGCACCGGGGGCTGCGAGCACCGGGCTGCAGCCTGACGCAGGAGCACAGGGGGCAGCGGAACGAGAGCAAGCACACAGCAGAGCAGGAGATGAAGCTCACTGCAGATCTGTTGTACTCGGCTCAGAACAAAACACCTAAAATCCAGCTCCAGCACACCGAATGCCACCTGGAATGATGACGGGGACAGGAGTGCTACCGCCGTGGGAACAACGCCTGTCTGAAAAGCTGGCATCACGCTGGTACAGGATGGGTGAGCTGCAGCTAGACGGAACGATGGAAAATGGTTATCAGCAGCAGCACCTGGCCGAGGCGAATGGGGCACAGCACCGAGAGCACTCCCACTGCAGGGACGGGCTCGCTTCATCCACGCCTGCAGCCGTCGCCACCAGCAGCCTGCCCATGGGACCAGCCGAGAACTTGCTCCCTGCTCTGCCTGACCTGGGAACTCTGTGCCCGGTGCTCTGCAGGGCCCAGACCCAGCAGCGTTGGGCACAAATTTCTGAGTGTTTCACCCAGGAGCTGCTGCCCGTTGAGCCCAGAATGTGCACTTGGCTCGTCCTGCTGCCAGCGGGGGCACAGCTGCAGCGCTGGCCGTGACGGGGCCAGGAGGCAGAAAGCAGACGGACTGCACGTGAGCAGGTAGGACACACAACAGCCAGGACTCAGCCAGCAGAGAAGGCAGAAGCGTGTTGTGTTCGGACACTGCCACCCTACCGCAATATCCTCACGAGCATGGCCGAGCCCATGGCGTAAAACCATGAACGGAGGAGCGCAGCAGCATCCTTGGGCACCCCATCAGCAGCAGCGTTAACACCAAGCAGGCAAAGGGGCCTCCAGATTCCTGCTCCCAGCCCCAGGGCAGCTGCAGGGCAGGACCCGGGGCTGTGCTGGAACCCCCAGGGGAGCAGCCACGATGCGCAGGAGCAAAGGGCAGAGCAGAGGCCCAGGGATGGGCACGTGGGGAGGGCAGCACCCAGCTGTGCTCCCACACACCAGCAGCTCGTGCACCCCTGAGCAAAACACGATTCACGTGCACTTCGTATTCCTTAAGATTTATCTTCAGGGAGAGGATCTGCCCAGTCCTTCCGTGCAGCCCTAAGCGCCCTCATCACACCGCTGCCCCGGACAGGAGCGCCCCAGCTGCATCACGCCGCAGGACCCAGCGCTGCCGGCTGCTGGAAGGTGACCCAGCAGTGACACCTGGCATTTCGGCAAGACGGGGAACAACACTGCTGACACCGGGCACCGGGGGACTCCTCCTGCCTGGCACAGCGGTGGTTTTGGCAGAGCAATCCCTGCTGAGGATGCGGAGGGGATGCTGGAACCAGCCCCAGCAGCTCGAGCGAGGGATGCGTGGCTGCTGCCCATGCGAGGGGGGAGCTCCCCAGCGCCCTCGCAGCACCCCAGGCACAAGAATCCCCCCGACCAACACCAAAAGAGCAGCAAAACCAAGGCAAAGGGAACACACAGAGAGGGGGACAGTAGCTCGGAGGATGAGGACCATCTGGCACAACAAAGCAGCAAGCAGCAGCTTTCAGTACGATTAAGTCTATATTTAACATGCAAAGAGCTACCTTAATCTCATGACTAAGGATTTACCTGCTAATAACGTTAGTTATTTTGCGATCATACCAACTGGACCACAGTTTTCATGCAGTTGTGCAATGTCAAGAGCTGCAGGGGAGGGGGGTGGAGAGCTGACAAGTTTATTAGAGGCTTTTGTCTGAAAAATTAAATTCTCAGGTGACATCGGAAAAAACACGGCAGGGGTCTGTCCCTCTGCAGAAAGCTCCACGTACCTGCCTGAGCCCACCTCCACGCCAGGAGAGCTCTCCGGACAGCTGTTAGCACACAACCACTTCTAAAGGCAACACAGCCACAGCTCTGAGCAGATGGCAGCGTACGTACGACAACCCACAACCAGCCCAACTGCCCGCAAAACCCAGGGAAAGGGGGGCTGGAAAATAAAGAAACAAAGCATCCCAGACGAGTCCTTCCCATCAGCAGAGGCACGGAAAAGAGCTGGGTACGAGCACAAGTCGCGTGCAAACCAGCAAGGGTCAGAGGCAGCGGGACTGGACGAGCAGGAGGAGTGTGTGCACGCCTGCCCAGCCCCGATACGGGCAGGGGATTTGGACAGAGACCGTGGGAAGGGTCGGAGACGGAGGCCACCCAGCAGCTGTCCCTCCCAGCCACCCCCCTGCAGCTCCGCGCTGCCCCTCATCCATGGACCTTCCGAAGAATGAGCAGTGCTGTAGTTTGGATCACCTCTGCACCCCAAAATCCGAATGGAAGCAGCTGGGAACTAAAGATCCATGGCCAAGACCCCTGACGAGCGTCCTGCACGCAGAGGACTAAGCAGGTATGGTTCCAGCGTCCCCTCGCTGCTGCTCCCCCAGGTCCCTGAGCGCTGCTGTTTGCTCAGTAAGATTTCCTCGGCAAGAGAAAATGTTCCCCAAGCAGTCCCTGGGAAAGGGTCGCTCTCTGCCAAGGAGTAGCTGTAGGTCATTTTGGCCATAAGGGATCCCAAAGGCTTTTTGCTCTGGTTTGTGCTATAGGCACACGGGGCGTGGGGTGTTCTTACCTGGGGGCAGCACGGGGAGCCACGTCCCAAGGGGAAGGCAGTAACACAGCTAAGCAAAACGGTGACTTGTCTGCAAGTCCCCAGACATATTTCATGGCACTGTGGTACCTCTCCCAAACTCCCGTGGGAGCTCCTTGCTTCACCAGCACCCAGCTACACGTCAGACCTGCCCAGGAGCGCAGCATCACCCCGTGCTGCTAGGTATTGATCAGAAAAGGGCCACACGATGGCCCTGTGATAACACAGCGGGTTACCAAAATTCATCTGTCATGTTTTAAATGTTTCCACTGAAGACAGTAAGCGCCAGGGAGCACAGCTCATGCTCCCCACGGCGCACAGAGCACTTGGCATGCAGCTGGTACCGACAGCCCCCGTACGCAGGGGAACATACCCCACGTTATAATGGCACTTAGAGGAAAGAGAAGAAGAAAGCAAAAGCCAAGGTGAGTGTCAGCCATCGTTCACATGGGAGCAGCAATGTGTGTGCTCACTTCACTGCCTAAAATTTAACGTCCCTTGATGTAAAACCTAGGCACAGACACGTCGGGAGCGATGCTGGGCACAGCCCACGGGTATCAGTGACCGGCACCACGTGCTGCCTTGAAGGCCCAGCTGCAATTAACTCATTAGCAGAAAGTGCTCACAACTGTGCTTTTACCTGCATTTACCTCGTACCCCTGGGTAGGCTGGGGGCTGGAGGGGGGAGCGCATGCAATGAGCAAACATGCAGGGGTACGATGGGGGCACAGCAATGAGTGGCGATGGACTGGGATGCACCAGAGGGCGTTTCATGCGGCCAGGAGACTGCAACATGCAGGCTAATTGGCAAAAAACGCACCACCTTTTTAGGTTTCACTCCACGCTGCATGAAGAGGAAACAAAAGGTTAGAAAGTTAGAGCTCACATCACACAGACAGCCCTGGTAAGAACGGTTTGCTCTCTGCTCAAATACCACAAGTTTTAGAGCTAGTTCGTCACAAAAGAGCACATTTCCCAATGAATTCACCAGGCTGCAAAAACACGAACCGTCAGAAAGGAGGGAAATTACATTCAGACACATTTAAACAAACGTGAGGTGGCTTAACAGGGACGTAGACAGCGGGGCTTGTGCTCAGCCACCCGACTCACTGACTCACTGGCTTCGCTCCACTCACGGGTCCAGCCTCCAAATCCCTCCAGCACAAAGTCTTTCTAAGTGCCAGGGCACAAAGGAAGAAAAGTTCCTTCACTTGCTGGCAGCCGGCAGCACCTGCAAAGAGCTAACAGCGGGGACAGCCCACCCCAAACCCAGCTCCTTGCTCGATGCTCGCCTCCTGCTCTGGCCCACCTTGGATCAGCCCCCGCAGAGGGCAGGTGGTGCTGTGCCCGGCTGCTTTCTGCTCACTTTTTTTGGGTACATTTGCAGCTATTGAAGGAGAAGTAAACCCAGCAACTACGCCTCGGGACACGCTTACAATTTACTGTAACACGGCGCTTTGTGTTAAAGCACAGCTCAATCACACGGAGGCAAAGCCCCCCTGGGCTGCTGCCCCCACGGACAAGTTCCCCTGTTGGCAGGGCTCACCCAGCGTGCTGCCCAGTGCCGGGGGCTGCTCCAGCTGCCCCCTGTCCCCACAAGTTGGGGCGTTGGGGCCCCCTCCGCATGCTCCATCCAAAATTCACAGCACTGCAGCTGCACAGCGCAGCTGGAACTGCTGCTCGGGCAGCGCTGTGGGCACAGAGCGCCGGGATTTGGATGTCACCAGGTTTTGATGCGGGACAGAAGGCACAGGGACAGCAGTGGGAGCACAGTGGGGTCCCCAGCACTTCCCACCCGCAGGCACCCAGCCTGCACTGACCCCTCCTGGCAGAGCCCCCCGAGGCCGTGCTCTGCCCCGCTCCACTGCAGTGCTTCGCCGTGGTGAGGAGAGCTCCAAAGCGATGCCATGAGATCAGGTGAACTGGGTGCGAGCTTGGTGGATCCCTGCACCTTCTCAGAAATGCTAGAATTTATCTTTATCAAATTTATCAAAGCTCTCCCAGCCTTGTTTTTTTTCTGCTGACACTGCTCCCAGCCTCTCTGAGTATCTAACACCAGGGCCTGGACACCAAAGCGCTGCTCAAGGCACCACCAAGGCAATCTGAGCACACTCAGCACGTTGCCGAGCTCACTGGGGGCTGGGTCGGGGACAGAAGGTGTGCGCATCCTGCCCCCTGCCCTCAGGAGCGGAGCTGGAACACAAACAAGGGAGGTGAGAACCCAGCTGCGCCAGGAAGGGACGGTGAAATGGGAAGCACTCCTGTGCCTTGGGACCAGCACCCAGCTTTGGGGCCCTCACTACAAGGACATTGGGGTGCAGGGGCAGCCCTTGGCAGGAGGGGCAGGGGCAGGGTGCTGGGGGTGCTCCTCCTCTCCACCTCTCCGGGGCATCATTTGGGTTACGCCGGGAACCCGCTGTGCCAGGGCAGCACCTCAAAGGCAGCAGGGTGTTATTTAAGAGTTTTTCTACACCAAAAAGCTCGGCCGGCTGCCCCACGGCACAGCAGCACCTGCAGCCCCCAACAGCACAGAGCTCCACCTACCTGAGTGCCCTGCCTCCAACATGGCCAGCACCAAATTCTCTCTTACATAGAAAAAAAAACAGATGCTTAAAGCAGGGGGCACCGGCATCTAATCGGGGGGTTCTAAACCTGGGAGCAAACCCTGTCAGGTCAGCTCCTTTCCTACAGCCTTCTTAGGCAGAGCAGTTGCAGAACAATTACTGTTTTAGCATCCTGATATCATGAACGTTACATCTTTCCCCCTTCATTAATATTCTATCTGTCTCTTATTACAAACGCTCTGAAACAATTTTAAAACCTCTCTTCCAGCACCCCACAACTCCCTCTCGCAGCCTTTATTCTGAGGAACCATATTCTGGGCTGACCCTTACAGCACACAGCCTCACCTAGCAACCCTCGCACTAATTGCAGCATGTAATTAACCCAGGGACTGGGATGTCATCACAGGCACAGGACACAAGGGGGAGAAGTTGCCACCAGTGCAGGGCCCTGCAGCGGAAGGGAGCAATCCGCCAGGACACGCCAGCAGGTAAGGGGAGCCCTGGTCAGCAGAGGAGGTAACCCTACAAAATCCCCCAAATCCCTTAAATACGAGGCTGGGGGGTGGGAATTTCCTCTCCACCCTCTACTCTGGGGTCTGCTTGACTCAGATCATGAGCGAGGCTCAGCCTCCCAGGCCCGTGAGGGTGCTGAGCCCCTGGAGCCCCTCCACACATGGGTCCCGTGCCCAAATCCCACCGTGGTGCAGGCTGACCCCGACCCGGAGCACGGCACCCCACCTTGCTTCTGAAGCGTGCTCAGAGCGAAGCCACTGCCCCCCCCAGCACCAACCACAGCTTTCTCAGTACCTGCACGCACACATGGCCATTTTTGTGCTTTCACACTTAAATAACTGAGCTTGTCTGGGGGGCAGAAGCATTTGTAGAACAGGTACCTGCTCCCATTCCTGTCCCTGACGGAGCACACGGCACATGTCTGGATACAGCACGTACCCATCAATGCCTCAAGAGCCATCGAGATTCCTGGCTGCTCAGAAGTAAACACACAGTTCCTCTGCAAGCCCTACAGGAGCCACAGAGCGCTTATTTCCCATATCCTGAGGAGCACACTTCCTGCAGGGTGTACGGGTGCTTTTCTGCCTGGTTTGTTGTGTTTTTTGTTTTTTTTTTTTTAAGGATCACAGCCAAGAAGCGTGCAGGACGTGCGTGTTGCAATGCTGATTGAACTTAGCTTTAAGTGTGTGACATCAACAACTGTGCTGGGAGTGTATTCCCCTACAGCTTACTGGTTTCTCATGGTTAGCTGAGAAATTGCTTCTTAGAGAGCCTCATTTCCCATGGGTTTCAGGAGAAATGCACTCTGTCACTGGCACTTTTACAGCAAAGAATGGAAAAGGGCTAATAGGAGACGGGGTGGAAAAGCTGCCCTTTTGTGTGTGTGCAGCTCCGTGCACTTTTCCTGCAGGGTTGAAAAATGGAGCTTCTAGAGAGGTGATAAAAGTTAACGGAAGGAAAAACACTGGAGGGGAATGTGTGAGCCTGCCTCTCCCACTGATCACGTGCTGCAAAGTGAATGTGTTTCAGCAGCCTGCAGCGTTACGGGCTCAGCACTCACCAGTTTGCTGGCTTTGGCAGCTTCCAGGGAATCTGTAAAGAAAAACAGAAACAAAACCATCAGCTCTGGCACAGCAGTGCCCTCGGGCCTGACCCGCATACCAAGTGTCTGCAGTCCAGCGAGAGCTGGGGCACGCCGAAAGGACATTTACACAAGGTCTTAAAGAGGTGGGAGAGGGGCAGAGCCCACAGAGCTCTGCAGAAACCAGGACGTGGTGGTGTACCAGGGCAAAAACGTGTAGGAACAGGGGCTCTCATCAGACCTGCTGACAGTCTGAGGGAAGAGCCCAACGACCAGACACGTTCGAACTAGGTCACCGTACCCTTCCGTTCTCCCATGAAGTTACTGCAGTGCAGAGAGCCTTGAGCCACCCTCAGCACATCCCCTTATCGGGGACAAACGGCAACCCAGCCACCCAACCAGCACCTAACCAGCCCGATCCCAACAGGAGAACCACGAGCAGAGACATGGGCCAGGAGGACATTTACTGTGCACAGCAAGGCAGGAGGTGCCCAGCAGGACTGCCTGCAGCACTGCACACACAGCACGCACACAGGAGGTCTGCTCGGGGACACGTCCGAGCCTCCCAGCCCTACAGGAGCCGCACGTCACTTCCCCGAGGGCGTCCTCAGCCCCAGCCCTGACTGAGCAGAGGGCTTCCCACTGCCAAAAGCCAAAGCCCTGCAGCATCAGAGGTCGTCCTCCAAACCAGCCGCGTCCTCTGCAGCACTGCTGGGTGCCCGATGGGCTTGCGAGCAGCTCACAGCTGCAGGGGGTGCCCCCTCCTCTCCCGGCTGCAGCCCGGAGCTCAGTACTGCCCGTTCGGTGTTGCTGCTGGCCCAGGGCACAGCAGGGGCACATCTCAGAGGAGAGGAGCTGCCAGCCCCACACCTCGGGCTCTGGGTGAGGCAGGTGCTGGGCTCCGGGCTGAGGCTGCCCCAGGGTCTGCAGCGCGGCTGCGGCAGCCGGCACCGACATCTCTATGGCAACTCCTGGCACGCAGCCGGCACCACACCGAGCAGCTCCTCCAGGGCAGCTGCTGCAGACGGCAGCGGCACCAAACCCTCCGGCAGCCCCGGAGCTGGGGCAGCCCCGTCCCCTGTCCCCTGTCCCCTCCTGCAGCGCTCGGCGGGCTGCGGGCAGCGCAAGGTGCACCAACGGTGCCGGTGCTGCATGCGGGGAGGCACAACGTGACCCGTCTGTGTTTCACTCGCTTTGAATTTCAATGAAAGAACCAGCGGCGGGGGGAAAAGGGCCAGAGCATCGCTGCAGGAAGCTCGGTGAATGCTGCTGGCAGCGACACCAAGCCTCAGAGCGTGCTAAGAAGGAGGCAGCACTGAACAGCCAGCGCTGCAAGGAAGCAGCCGCAGACCTCCGGGTGCTGCAGTCACTGCTGGTCTCTCCCAGAGGTTTCAGAGGAAACCAGCAACCCTGCAGCACGCAGCACAGAGCCTCAGAAAGGCTTCCAGGTAATGAGGGGGCACCCGATTTAAAGGCTCCTGTGCTGACCCACAGAGCTACACCCCGAGGTTCGTTTGTTCCTCCTCCCAAGGCAGCTGACACACGTCTGGTCTGTGCCTGTCCTGTGCTCCTGACAGCATCGCCCACTCCCTGACTCTCAGGACTTTCAACGGGGGTCTCCTGGGGTGTTCCTCCTGCATAGCCCCCAGGATATCAGGGATGAGAACAACAGCAGGCTCCCAGCTCTGTGAGCCGTGTAGCTTTTTGCACGTTCAGTGTTCTAAAAGGTGAAGGCCATTAATGTAAATTCAGAAAACCCAGACCTAGAGGAGAAGCGGGGACAAAAGTGTTTGCACTGCTCCACACAAGCTCCTCATCCAAAACGAGGACAGAATTTTAACAAGAAAAAACGAGCCTTCAGCTGGGAAGTCTGAACTGACAAACAGTGAAAAGATCGTAAACGCTACGGAATATTTTCGTTTACTGTTAACATCAAGCAGATAAAAAAAGAACAGACTGAAGCTGCTCAACAGACTGGGCTCTCCAGCACTCTGGAGCAAAATAACACAACTCGGACCTGGGTACTAAGCAGAAGAGTTTTCCTCTTTCACGTTAAGCCCCGCACCCCACCACCAGTGCTGGCTTCACCAGCGCCCCACTGAGCTGCACGTGCTGATGGACGACCACACCAGGGGAGAACCAAGAGGTGGGGGCACAGCACCCCCAGGGCCCCAGTGCGCCTCAGGGCTCCCCGGAGGAGGCAGGGGGATGCCCAGAGAGGTGAATGCCAGCTCACTGCCCTTCCACCCCAGGGACACCAAATGAAGCTGCTGGGAACCCCCCTTCTGAGCCGATCGTCCCCATCAGGTGCCTTTGGGCACGCTTGATGTGGCTGCAGGGTGGGTTTCATTTCTGAATAAAGGGAAATTTTGGTTTCTACTGGCCAGGAAAGGAAAAAAACAACAACAAAGGAAACAACCCTGCTCTGAATCGCTAAGCATGTGTTCAGCAAATGCTCCACACACAAGGAATCCTCAGCTTGGCACGCACAGCTTCCTGTCCTGGACAGTCTGCAAGCAATCAGACGGGTTTTCTTTTTCCCCCTCAAGCTCCTAGGATTCCTAAACGTACTGCTAAATAATCGCTAAAAAAAACAGCCTCAAAGGGAGTCAAGCCTGACAAAAGAAGGAAAAAGAAGGAAAAAAAGAAAAGAGCAGCCTCTGAGGTAACAGAACGGGGCCGTTACGAAGCGGCCTGATGACAGGGAGCAGAGGGAGGCTCGGCAGGGAGCACGACGCGCAGCGCAGCACGGTGCCCGTACCTCTCTTGGGGACCTTCAGGGCAGCGGAGTCCGGCGTTTCTGGGGACGTGGTATCAGCTCCATCTTCAAACACCTGGATCTGGAACACAGCACAACAGCCGTTAGGGCAGAGGAGAGGACGGGTGCACATCTAAAGCCCCCCCCACTGCAGGTTCATACAGAGACTACAGGGTTTTGGTGCAGATTTTTATTTTGGTTACTCAAGGTCTGGTGTTTGACCATCCTCCTTCCCGCAGGCTCCCTGAAAAAGCTGCGTGTTCACTTGAGAAAAAGGCAAAGCTGGGGATTCACCCACCCAGGGGATCCACAGCAGCTTCGTGGTACCCCCGGGGCAATCCGCTCACACCCCGGGCTGGTGACCACGTTACGTTACTGGCACTTGGCAGAAAGCTTTTTTTTTTATCATGTTTTTGTCTTAAAGTTATTTTAAAACCTTTCTCCACTGTAAGGAAACTGCTTTTCTCTGAGACAGCAATTCCTGCGCTGCCGAGCAGCCAGCAGCGGGGCCGGGCTGGTTTTGCTCCCACACTGGAAGCCCGCGAGGCACAGACAGGAACACCCCCAGGTCCGAGCTGCATCAAGGGATGAGGATCTGGGGTTTTCTCTGTCATCTATTTCTGGACACATTTCTGCTTCATAAATATAGAACACGAGACCGGAAAGGATTAGGCCACTTCCTGAAAACCATTCCTCAACCTCGGAGGGCCAACACCACCTGAATTGCTCCTGGCAGGTATTTGCTGCAGCGACCCGCTCCGTAAGAGCCTTAAGCATGGGAGATCAGTTTAAAAATAACTTCAAAAATAACAATCAGATCCTGTACACCTGCTGGTCACGGCTTCCTTTCTGGAAGATGCCCAAGTGTCATACTCTTAAACGGGAAGAAGCACGGAGGCTGGTGCCACAGGAATCATCACGACTGCACCAGAGCTGCAAACACTCAACCCGTGGTTTAAGAAGCGAGGAAGAGGCAAGGTTCCCCTGAAATCACACAGAAAGTGCATCTCTGACACAGCCAGGTATGCCTGATCTCTGAGCAGCGTGGCGATGCATGTTCAGAGCCATTTGCTAACAGCAGTGGGACAGGAAGGTAAGGACAACAGGACTGAGATCTGCTGCGCCCTGCTGCGCCCTCGGGGTGCTCCTAGGGACCTCCTCCAGGCACCAGCACCCGGAGATGGCCCCTGGCAAAGGAGGGGGCTGGAACAAGGAGCCTCTGGTTTACGCTGGAGAAGCACAACACACACAAGATGTGCTGCAGAAGCAGGACCAGGCTGAGCCCCTCTGCCAAGCAGGAGCAGAAAAGCAGCTCCACCTGACACCAGAATCGGTGACATTTCCACGTAAAACAACACACACTCGGAGCTACGAGCCCCGGGCAGGTGCAATGCTGAGGCTGCCAGAAGCCAACGAGCCAGCCCCCGGCTGGAGACGCCCATCCCAGAGGCACAGGGACCGTCTGTGGGCACAGAAACTCCCAGCACTGCCACAGCCCCACGAGGGAAGGAGCCCACCAGGGGCCCATCCTGCCCCCACGGGGAGGGCACAGCGAGGGGCACGGGGCCATCGCTGCCCCAGGGCTCCTGGGTGTCACCAGGACGCACCCCCCCACAGAGCAGCTGGTATCACCAGCACTCCTTTCTGGAGGCGTATTTTGAGGTGGAGAGAACAGAAAGTTAACCTTGGAAATTTCTTAAAAAACATTTAACATGTCCAAGATGCGCTTACAGGGCCGCAGTCCGTCTGCTCCATGAGCAATGAGAAAAACATGTTAGTTTTTCTCCTCGAGAAAAATCATCGCCATCCAGAGGCCTGACACTGCGTGTAACCACAGGAAAGCCACCCGCTGCACTGGAGAGACCAGAAATGAATGAGGGGAGGAAGCAGCAGACAGATTTACAGCCGAGAGCACGAGCAGAGCACTAACTCCACTGGAGGGAACCCTGCCATCTTCCATCTGCATCTTAAAACCAGTTCTTGAAAAATTAATGCCCCAAACCAGAGGGACCGTTCCGGATAAGCCCTCTTGGTACGGGCCAGCTCGCCCAGCCCTCGTGCTGGAACTCCTCTGGGCACCATGCTGCACAAAGAGGGCTCTGAGGAACAGAAGGGAACCGAGCCACAGCCCTGCACCGCAGCGGGCACCGAGTGCTGGGCTCACAGCCTGCTCCAGACACGCTGCTCAGAGACCGAGCTCGCCAAGTTCATGGTCTGAATTTTGGGGTAGATCTGTGTGGTGCCAGGAGCTGGACTCGATCCTTGTGGGCCCCTTCCAGCCCGGGATATTCGGTGGTTCTGTGATTCCAGGTTCACCTTCCCACACCGAGCACGGGCTCAGAGGGGTGGGTGGCGCTGCCAGCACCAGCTCACGGCTCCCCTCGGGCTGGGTCCCGCAGCGTGGTGCTTCCACATCCCAGATTTAGCTGGCAGGTTAGGCTGGGAGGCAGAGCAAGGAAGCCAGGTCCACGGGTCCCAGAACAGCCAGGAGAAGGTTCACTTCTCATCAGCGAGCTGTCACCGTGCCCCTGGATCTGCACAGGAACTGACAGCTGGGACAGGGGATGGGGGGGTCCAGCTGAGGACTCCTCTCCCAAAGCAGCTGATTTTCCCTCTACTTCCACAGTCACCCACTGCCAGTGACCTGGAAGGGAGCCACCACGTCTCCTGGTGCAGCAGGAGGGTTTGGGGAAGGGGAAACGAGCCCAGCACTCTGCTTCAAGCCAAGCTTCCAACAATGGTTTTGCACTCAGGGAAGGAGGAAAGGAGCTGAGCGTCTCCTGCTGCGATGTCGTGCTTGGAGCACAGCCACCCGTGGGACTACAGAGCGCTGCCACCTCGCTGTGCTCGTGCTGTGTGGAGACTGCACAGAAGTTAAAAGGGAAGAGACGTGTCTGCACACAGCCGAGACGGCTGGCTCCTACCTGGGCACAGGAACAAGAGCTCCCCAACCAAACACCCAGATGCTGGTCCCAAACCTGACTGGGGATAACGGAGCTGGCAGCGCACTGAGGCAGCACACAACGTGCAGATTTGTACTCCTCGTTTCAGAGGTGAAGTGAAAGCATTCCACGCTGCCTGGAACCCAACCTTTCTTCACCTGACTCATCTGAAAACACTTCACTACAACCTCCCAGTCTGAACTGAGATGCTCAGTGAGATGGGCAGAGGGAATGAGCACCAGGCTAGTAGGAGCCACAGCTCTGGCAGCAGCACTGCCTGCTGGTGAGGTTTGTGGCTGGAGCCGTTCTTTCCCTTGCACAGTGGAAGACAGAGTCCCAGAAACATTGTGCTCCCTGGCAGTGAAGGAAAAGCATTTCAACTCTCCCATCAGTAGGTGCAAAGAGCCATTTTCCTCTGTTCAACCAAGAAATCCGTGAGCTACACGAGCCTGGCAAGCAGAAGCTGTCGCAGGACACGCGCACGGGAGAAGCGTACCTGTGACTGCCGCACGAAGATGCCGTGGTTTTCCTCGCAGGTGAAGTATTTCCTGCCCTGCACGGTCCCATCGTTCTTGCCCTTGGCTTCATCCAGGATGACACCGACCCACTTCCCGGTGGCAAACAGGGTGGCACCGACATAGGCCACAGTACCGCGGTGCCCCTTCCCGATGACTTCCACTCTGGAGCCCACCTTCAGGGGCTTGCTGCTGCCTTCCGCGCTCATCCTGGGGCCAGTGCTGGATGCCTGCAGAGAGAGGAGAAGAGCAGCCAGTTACACACGGCCAGTGCAGCCAGACGGAACAGCAGCTTGGATGCCAGTGCCCCATTCCCTTCAGGGGTGGGCTCCCAGCACGTGGTGCCCCCCCAGCACCCTGCCCGACGCCGAGGGTCGGTCCCTGCTCACACTGCACCAGCCCTGGGGTGCGGGTGAGATGCCCTCCCTTCTGTTACAGCTGCCCACAGGCATCACAGACAGCAGCAGAACCCCCGACTGCAGCTCGCAGCAGGTCCGCTGCTCTCACACCCACGTCGTGCAGTTTGTAGAGGATCGTGGAGCAGCTCCAGAAAGAGCTGAGCGAAGGGGCCGATGTTAGCACAAGTCTCCTTTGCCTCTGGTGCTGGCTGCATTCTGCTTTCACCTACGCTGGCAGCTGCCTGGGGCTCCCCAGCCTCTTGCCCTGCACAGCTGGGAACAGAAAGCCCCGTGGTGCAGCAGCTCCGACAGCTTCGTTTCCTGCACCTCGACCACGCGCCCTGCAGCCTCCTGCCACTGAGCTGGGTCCCGCTCCCTGCAGGACCACGAGGTCACAGCGCTGGTGGGCAGAAAATGCCTCCAGTAAACCCGGTCGGCTCGAGGCATCGCCACCTGGAACGCTCAGCAGCATGCACATCACTCTGCACCCCCAGAGATCAGGCTTGCCACCTCTCTGGCCAGGCCAAATTAAGCACATCAACCAACTCCGTTACCGCATTGATAAGAGGGATGGGGAGGAACTGCATTACAGCGCCTGGGACCCTCAGCCTTACCTCGATTCTGCAACCTCAGTGGAGTTTATAAGGGGGGGCAGGCAAGACAGGCATTGGGACCCCATTGCCCAAGGGGGATGAAGTTTACGTTATATTGCCATAGAGTTAATTTAACTGCATGCCTTAATGGTTTGAAAATCAGTGCTGTTCTAATTGTCCCTCCACAAACAGCCCTCCAAAGGCTCCTACTTTTAAATAGGAATCAGCAGGCAGGGGGACACTGACTGTTTGCTCAGTTGCACGGCTCGGTGTGACAGCGTGGGGCTGTCCTCACGCCAGTCCCAAAATGAAGCAAATCTCAGCATTTACATCACGCCGGGCACAGGCAGGGCTCCCGGCACCACACCAGCAGCTCGACGCCACCAGAGCAAAGAACCAACAACATTCTGAAGCTTCTGCCCGGTTCGTGCAGCAACCCAAACCCAGCACCACTGGCAGCCCATCCAGCCAGCCCTCACCTCCCCTCGCACGCCGACCACGCGGGTTCTGAGCGCAGAACGGCCCCGCGGTGCTCAGGGCGCGCTGCGACCGGGAACTGTGACAGCAGCTTCCACACAACCCCGTTCCACTTTCCGTCCAAATGCAATTGGCGGAAATCAAAAGCACAAAATCTCTTTTATACAAAGAAAATCACTCATCAGTTCTAGCAGGAACAACAAACAAGACCTCGAATCTAAAAACGCACGCTGCACATTCAGAGGAACGTCTGCCAAAACATCGGATCATTTAATTTCAGGACTAGCAACAACGTCCTGCAAAATACTGGGAGCCATAAAATCCACATCCCACTGGCTACAAGAAACAAGAGCAATGCTCAGGGAAAACAGCAGGCCTGGAGGAAGACAAGCAAGATTCGCAATTTAAGTGGAAAGCTTCCTGCTCAGCGATATACAAACACCAACCACCGCCGTGCTGCTGTCCGCCCTCCCCAACACCCGTGGGTCCCATCCAGGGGTCCAGGAAACCTCACACGCGAGGGCTCGGAGCTGCCCGTGGCTCGGCACAGCTCGGCCACCAGGCTGGGGCAGGGACTCCTGTGCATCAGCGCGTTGGCTGGGGAAGCTTTTGAAACAGAACACGTGCAGAGAAAATGTGGAAGCAGGACTATAAACTGACAATACCGCACTGTAACGTCACCGTGCCATCACCCCGCGATTCAATCAACGGCCTGAGTAGTTAACGGAGCGCACGCAGCCTTACTTGAATCCATAAGGCAAAAAGTCGCTCTTTCTCCCTGCAGAAGCTCAGGTCCAGCCCCGCGGCTGAAGGCGGGCACCTGGGGGGCATCTGGTGGGCACCTGGAGGGCGTTCTGCACAGCACCAGGGCAGAGGCAGGGCTCGGTCTTCATCGCCTCCTCCCCAGGGTGCAACCAGAGCAAAAAGCACGACCTCGAAGCAGGCGGACACGGCACGGCTCCATCACACAGCAGCCCCCCTGCCTGTCCCCGGAGCGGCCAGGCCTGGGTGCCCTGGTGCAGGGGGGGCTCGGGGAGCACCATCGGGGCTGGGCGCAGCCGTGCCGCTGCTGCTGCTCCTCCTCAGCCCTGCACGAACTCTCCAGGGAAGAAAATCTGGGACTTTGCAGGGAACAGGACTTTTTTCTTTTCTGATCCAAAAGCTCTTCAGGGCCTGTCTTACCAATTATGCAGCAAACATGCATATGGGGGAAAAAAAAAGAAAAAAAGCAGCAGCACATCTTTGTTCTCTGCCAGCGCCTCTCTAGGGACCACCCCTAGGGCTCGGCAGCGCGGCCGGACGAGAGGATCGCCTCGCCAGCCCCAAAGCCCTGCCACATCTCACTCGCAGCGTGCTCAGCGCGGATTTTCTGCTGCCGTGACGCCTTTCGGTGCCAACGAGGAGCAAGTGGCTGTGCGAGATAAAACCTCTGCCCTGCACCAATGTCCCAAGGCTGCCGCTACAACCAGCTACTGCAGCAGCGAGGTGCTACCGGCAGGCCTTGACAAAAAGGAACAAAGGGAAAAAAAAAACAAACCACTCGGGCACATCAGCGCCTGGCGAGCTGGTTACACCATCCTGGCACTGGGAAGCCCCCGCTTTGCTGTCAAGCAAGTGGAAAAATCCAAACGCAGGCAGAAGGCTCCAGGACGTGCCGTTTGCCTGGCTCTGAGCAGAGACGCAGCGCAGGGCTGCTCGTAGCTGTACGAACAGGCAGACCACAATAATTCGTGTCACCAGAGCAAAACACAAGATTATGCAAACCCATTGTAAATCTCTTGAGTACCCTGAAAAAAAAAAATCTGGCAATTTTGGTAGCGTTCCCGTGTTAAGGGTCGTTATGGCACACACAGGGGCAGGCACCCTGGTGCCATAGGGCCGGGTCGGGCGCTGTGCCCGGCAGCCAGGCTGGGAGCAGACCCCCCGGCTGCAGGTACCGACCCCTCCAGCGACCTCCCACAGCTCCCCATGCCCAGCCGGGGGCTCAGGGCACCTGCAAAGTGCCACCAGGTGAGGACAGGAGAGCGGCCGCCTGCGCTTGGTGGCATGTCCCCGGCACAGGAGGCCACAGGACCCCAGCAGGAGCCTCCTGCACGCCAGCAGCCCCCACCCCACGGGGACAGCAGCCACAGCAGCACCTACAGGGTTCTGCCTTCATCTGCCCCGACTCCCCGCCACCTGCACGGACACAGGCCGGCCCCACGGCTTACACCTCACTCGGGTCATTAGGCGCTCTAATTAACGCAGCAGCCCGTTAGGAACACGCAGCATGCGTCACCTCCAGGAAGCACCGAGCTGCTAACGTCTCCTCACGGCTGTGATCTCACCGATGCTGACAGAGAGAAGTTAACGAAATTCACCCTGGCACAAGTAGGTACGTGTTTTTTTCAGCCCCAAATTTAAAATTTAATAACTTCTTAATTCTGTCAACTCAGCTTTCTTTTTAAGCAGCAGGTCAGACGCTCGCTGGCCTCCCAGTGTCCCTGTGCTGCGCCCTCCCCTCCCGAGCAGGTCGGGAAGGCAGCAGAGCATCCTGTCAGCTCCACGGCTGTGCTGAAGCCCGAGCCTGGTGCTGCCTGGCCCCACGGCCTCCCCTCGGCTCACACACGGCACAAACCACACCTCAAAGGCCCAGCGGCTCCTCCGCTGCCATCTGTGGGGCTCTGGAAGATGACTTCTAGTGATACGAAACCCATCCTGAACAGAACAGCAACAGGACTGATCGAAGAGGAAGATCCCTGAGCTGCAGGCGCTTTCAGAGCAGCACTTCCCAACGCACGGAACACCTGAGAACCCTTTTTATAGGTGTATCGGTACGAGTACAAGCCAAGGGCTGGCACACGGAGGCTTAAAGTCACTGCCTGGTGCCAGGCTCTGCCTCGGATGGGGCTCTGGAGGGCGTGAGCAGCCCGGGGGCGCAGTGACCGAGCACCCCATGGATCTTGTATGATCGCCCCCAGCTCACGTGGGGCTGAACCATGGTGCAGGAGCCGTGGTTGTAAATCCTCACACTGCCAGATCGATGCCACGATGGAAGAGCTTTTTGTGGCTGTGGCCTTCCACAGGGTCTGAGCTGAGGCAGCTCCGGTGGTGTGAGAAGGGTGGACTCGAGGTGGCCGGGACAAAGCCGCGTTCCTCCAACACCTTCAGGAGCACGCGAGCACTGCGCTCCTCCACCTGCTGGTGCCCCCGAGGGCTGCCCCAGCACCTCCCTGGTGGCATTCAAAGGACGCACAGACACGGTGTTTGGGGACATGGCTCAGGGCAGACTTGGCAGCGTGAGGTTCATGGTTGGACCTGCCCATCTCAGGGTGTTTTCCAGCCTAAATGGCTGGGATCCCATTCCCAGGAGCCATGGGGAAGGGGAGCCCCAGGACCACACAGCCACCCCCAGGGCGCTCAGCATCTGCTCAAGCAGGGCTGAAGGCAGAGGCTGAGCCCATGGAGGGGCCACAGCGGTGAGCAAAGGGAGTGCCTGGATCCTCACCCCAGAGGATTTGATCCGCAGGATCCCCCCGGGGCTCGAGGAGCTTCACTCACCCCGCCGTGTGCCAAAACTCAGGCCAAGGGGCGTCGCACTGCCTCCTCTCCGAAGCAGCTCCCACACCCAGATGGTCCCTTAGCTGTGCTGCCACCACATCTACCACCAGCCTCAGCTTCTTCCCAAATGCAACACCAAAATACAGACCTGGCGAGCACAGGGAGCTCCAGGGCCGTGATGCTGCTACCTGGCCAACTCAGCGCACGTCTTGGTCCATTTGTGTCCATCTGGTAACCAGCAGTGATTTTACTGGAAGTGTTTTCCAAATCTTAACATTCAGGATAGATGGCAGGGCACAGAATAAGCCCCCTGACATACTCAAGCCCTTAGGACTGCTCTCTAGCATTTCTTCACAACTCACAGTAAGCCAGGGGAACAAGGTGCAGTGCTCCAACGCGAGGGGCAGCGCTCGCCGTTCACCATGGCCTGAAGCTGAGCAGGCCACGGCACACAGCCCAGGTATCTCCCCAAAATCCAGAGAGCGCACGGCTCAGGTAATGCGTGACAGCTTTGCTCCAGGGGCTGACTGCCCCACCAGACCTGAGCCTGGTGTTCCCAGAGGGATTAAAGCCAGCACCATTATTGCAATTTCAGATTTAAAAAGGGGAGAAGCCGTGCGGGCTGCAAACACCGCCTTGCCCCATCGGCCTCCCCAGAGGGACGGCCACTCACTCAGAGACTGGCTGGGGAGCCCGTGGGGGTCTGCCCCGTGCCTCCTGGTGGCAGACGTGCCCCCAGCCATCCACAGGGTGAGCGGGGAGGTGAGGAACACCACGAAGCTGAGGGACGGTCACCTGGGTGCCACACTGCCCAAAAGGGCAGCTGGCGACCCAGCCCAGAGCTTCCTCGGGTTCTTCAGTTCAGGTTCCCCTCTGAGCTCCTCCTGAAGGACGCGGGCAGAGCTCTCCGGGCTGGCGCTGAGGCTCTGGCAGCAGTGTGAGCACCTCAACCTCAGCCCCAGGTGCTCACTGCCCCCATGCCGACCTCTCCAGCAGCCCCTCCAGTGCTTCAGACACCCGAGCTTTGGAGCATCGTGCTGCCGATGGGTGAGTAAAGCTGCAGGTGACATCCAGGCTGGAGGAACTCCACCAGACACACACGAGGGCAGAGAGAAGCGGCTCACACCCCAACAGGCTCCCTGGGGGCCCTGAGGGAGGCTGTTTAAGCACCAGCACGGTTCAGGACAGCTCAGGCCCATCGCTCCCATGCAGCAGTGGCCAAAAGGGTGAATGAGCCACTAAATTAAATTAAAACAGAAACCAGCGGCCAAGCGATGACCTGCATCGGGCTGGGGGGCAATCGGGCAGTGGGGGCGCAGCCGCCGGGCACCCTTCCCCCAGCCACCCGCCGACTGCCACTGCCCCAGCTGCCCACGCACAATTCCCTCCGTTGTTTAACGCTACTGATGATTAGCCACTGAAAAATCTCTGTAATTTCAAGTGACTTCACTTGGGATTCGAACGCGATTGGGGTCATTGCCGTGCTTCATCCAAACGTGACAGCTTCAGCACCAGGGGACAGCCCAGGGAGCATCCACGGCGTTCCTTCCCGAAGCCAGGCAGGGGGGGGGTGGACGCCTCAAAGTGTCACTCAACGCAGATCAAAAGTTTCAGGCAAAGCAGGAGCACAGCAACTGCCTCCGAAAGCTCCCGTGATGAGATTCACAACCACGGGTTCCAGCGCTTCCAGCCCCAAATCCAAGGGGTGCCCCAAGGCAGCTGGAACACGGGAGGACCTGCCGGTACCTGCAGCACCCGCTGAGCCCAGGCACTGCCAGACGCACGGCGTTGGGTGCTGCTGTGCCACCCGGCACGGCGAGGGGACTGCGGGGTCGGTGGTGGGGAGGCTGAGACCTCACCGGTGAGGGGCAGGGGGCTGCGGGATGCCCCACAGGGTGCCCGGCTGCTGCTTCCCCCGTGGGGCACCCACCGCAGTCGTGCCGGACCTCGCCTGGTCAGGGCTCGGAAGCCAGAGGTCAGAGGCAAAGGGCGTCACGGACACGATGGCACCGGCTGTGTGTGGAAGGGACCCCCCCAAAACCCTCACACAGCCCACCAAGTGGCAGCAGGACAGCCGTCACCCAGCCCACCCAGCTCAGACCCCCCCGGCACCGCCCGCAGCCAGGGCAGGCAGCGGCCGCCCGGCCCGGCTGCAGCTCGGCGCAGTCACAGCACAGAACTGCCAGCACCCAGCCCGAAATTCCACCTCTGGGCCCCACTCCCCGCACCAAAACGGGGACGCTGAGCAAAGGCAGAGCCCCGGAGCCGAGCGGTTGGAGGTGACAAACCCGAGGACATCCCACCCCCAGCCCACAGCCACCACAAAGGCTCCCGGCCCCCGTGCAGGGTGGGCGAAGCAGCCCCCAGCCCCGCGCTGTGACCGGCACCCCTCGGCCCTCTGCACGGGGCTGCTGCCTGCAGCGCCCTTTGCTGCCGCCTCCTCCAGCCACACAAACAGCCCTCGGCAGCGGGGACCGGGACACGGCGCGGGGTGACAAAGGGGAGCTCGGCAGCCAGGCCTTGCTGCGAGGCCGCTGCCCGGCTGGAGTCGTGCTGCCCACCCCCAGCACGGGGGTCACTGCAGTACGGGGAAACCTGGCAATGATTTCTGACACCGGGAGGGCCGGTGTCTGTCCATGCAGCCTGGAAAATAAGCAGACGGGGAGAAAAAGCCCACGGTGGGGAAAGGGAAACGAGCCGGAATCTTTGTGCTGAAAAACCCTGTAAAGATTCTGTCAGCAGCGTCGGCTCAGCTGACGCCTCGCTGCATTATCCGCGACAATTACCAGCACAGAAAGCCTCATTTAAATCAGAAGGACGCAGCCACCACCATCGCTCAGACAAATCCACCCACCCACCGCACAGCTGAGCGGATACTGCTGGGGATGAAGGGAAACACAGCCCCAATTCCAGCACAAAACCAGCTGCAGCCCCACTGCAACAGCATCACGGTGCAGAACAATGTCTCACGGCACAGCCAGGAGTTGGTAAATAAGTTTCCCTCCCCCCAACTTACCCGCCCGTACGTGTGTCTCTTGCTCTGGGCCATGCTGCCGCCGGCTTTTCTCTTTATTTGCAGGGTTTATTATTTCCAGCAGCGCTCTCAGTTCATGGCTCGCAGCGGTTCAGCGGAGGCTTTTCCCTGTTTCAGCTGATCTCATCGTCCCCGCGCCCCCCCGGCGCCGCGCTGCGGGCTCACAGGGCGCGGGGAGAGGGCCCTTTTGGGGCGGAGGATGCTCGGATGGGGGCCATGCGGAAATCCAGCCCAGCTGATGGAGACGAGACTGCGCCACTGCGCTCCGGGGCTGTCACCGCGCCGCGCGCTGGGTCCTAACGCTGCCCGGCTGCGGAGGGTGGGCACCGCGGGGGGATGCTCGGGGAAGGCCCCGGTGGGCACCGGGGGCGGCCCCGCACCCCCCGGGCTCCTGCTGCCACCCTCGCCCCAGCTGCCCTCGCCCCGGGTCCTCTGATGCTGCCCTGGGGACGCAGCGGGCACAACGACCCCGAGCCACGTCCCGGCCAGCGCCCAGCAGGGCTGCAGCAGCCAAAGGGTTAATCCCAGACCATCCCGGATCAATACTTGCTGTCGGCCTGATCAGGACAGATGCCTAATTAAAGTCATTGCCCCCCCCCCTTCCGATGCAGCACTAATTGCTGCTCTGGCAGGGCGGAGGGAGGGGCAGGCAGGGTGCCCCCAGACGGCTCCCAGCAGCGCGTGGTTAAACCCCGCTCAGCACCCGGGGGCTGCAGCCACCAGGCCGGGGCTGGGGCTGTGCAAAGCCCAGCTCAAGGAGCCAGCCCAACGGCTGCACCTCAGCTCCTTGGCTCCTGCGTGGCCCCACCGGGCGAGCAACACGGCCACCGGGCTGGGCACCGGGCCCACATCAGCCACGGGACAGCCTCGTGCCGGTGAGGGCAGCGTGCCGGGGCTGGGGGCTGCCGCAGCGCCCACCGAGCTCCAGGGGCGGGTTGGCAGCACCCCAGCACCCAGCAGTGCTCATCCCCCAAAGCCGAGGCCACGCTGCCCATCAGACAGGCACGAGGCTTTCAGCAAGCCCCAGCCCTGCTCCCGTGGAAGGCTGGCAGGAAAGAGAACCCAAAATCTGCCAATTGCTTCCTGACGTCTCTACAAGAACATGAACATCTGATTCCATCATTTTTCCTCTTCTCTGGGCTGTTTTAAAGGATATACAGAAATCCAGCCCCAAAATTGTTGGGAAAGTTACAAAAAAGCAAGACTGCCCTCCCGTTCCGCTCTGTTCTGTCAGCCCCAGGACAGATGAAGGGCATCAGATGCAAAACCCGCATGGCTTGAACGAAACCCAAGTGAAACACTACCGAAGTTGGTCAAACACAACAATAGTATGAAAAAAACAAAACCAGCACCAGCTCGGCCAGCCCATGTGCACGGCGTGGCTGTGCTGGGGCAGCCCAACACATGCCCTGTGAGTGGGTTGGGTTGTTGGGGCTGTTGGGTCCTAAGGACCCCACAAACACCCTCTGTTTGGGATGGCCCCGACCGCTCTGCTTACTGGGGGAGGGAGGCTGCAAAGCAACCCCCAGGAGCGCTCCCACGTGCTGCCTGCTCCCGTGCAGCCGCTTCATCCCACTCGTCACACTCTCCAGCTGCTCAAAACCCAGCCGACATTTTGGGGGCAGATCACAAAACCCCGCACACCGCGATCAGTGACACCGGGTGGCGTGGGGTCAGTGCAGGCAGCCCCGGGGATCTTTGGGGTTCTCCTGAGGTGTGAACAGTCACGGGTCAGAGAAATCCCCTGGGGAAAGCCGCCCTCCTCTCAGCCTTCCCTCGTTCCTCTGCAAGGATTCTGTATGCATCCGGGCTGCCTGCTCCACCCCCTCTAATAAATACCTCCAGGTTTATTCCCTTACAGAACCCCAGCGAGTGCCTTTAACCAGAGGTGGAACCAGCTCGGGGAGGCTCCAGCAGCACCCTGCAGGAGCTGTGAGGTTGTGCAGGAGGACGCGCTGCGGTGCTCTCTTTCCTCCTGGGAGCCCTGGGTCTGCGAGGCTGGGGCAGAGCCAAAGCAACAGCAGCAGAACGAGGAGCACGGCCAGCACCGGGGGCACCGGGCACAAACCCCTGCAGGGCACCAACCCCACACGGTGCCAACACTGCGTGCGCTGGGGGAGAAACCGGGTGACAGCAGCGAGATCGGGCCAAGGACAGGGATGAGAACCTCACAGGGACTTTAGGAAATGCATCCCAGGCACAGCGGGGTGCTCTGCTCCCCCTCAGAGCACGCAGCCCCTGCCAGCAGCACAGATCCCAGGAAGGCTCCCCCCACGCAGCCAGCAGGGCTTTCCTTCCCTTTCCAGGGAACACCACAAGTGCCACCCGGCCGATGCCCCCTCCCCTGTCCTGAAGTTCCCCCAAAAAGCCGGAGGTGCCAGCAGCTCCCAGGAGGCAGGACCCCGAACTGCTCCCGTCTGCCTCGGGGCGAGCTGTAGTGCTGCAAAGCCAAACACCCGGACACAAAGCTGAGAACATCTGCTGTGTGAAACGGGCCCACGACGAGCCCCAAGGAAAGTAAGACAAAAGCAACGTTAAGCTTCCCCAGCGCATACAAAAGCTGCAAAATAACTGACAAAAAAAGGGGAAGAAGCCTCAGTTTGGGGTCACTTGCAGCTAAATCACACCTCCCAGCGGGAGGCTCCCAGCCTGCAGCAGGGGTTGGAACTGGAGGATCTTTCAGGTCCCTTCCAACCCAAACCATTCTGTGATTCTGTGAGACCAAAACACCAGCACAGGCAGCACCCAAAGCACGCTGCCCCCCACGACCCCAGCACCGCAGCTGGAACCTGCCTCCGTTTTCTGCAGGACCCTGAGGGGGCCGGGATGCTGGGCAGCGGCTGTGGCTGCCAGGAGATGCTCCCCCAGGGTCCCCACGAGGCTCCCCACAGACAAAGGAACCCACGCAGCTACTGAAATAGGTCAGGAACGAGAGCCCAGCACCTGGAGCACACGGAGCACCTGCTGCTGGAAGGGAAACCGAGGGACGGCAGAGCCCAGTCACCCCACAACCGACCCCGAGCTGGAGCCCAGGGGCAGCGCGGCCACGCGGCTCCCAGCAGAGCGCGCCCAGGCTGCAGGACACCAGCTCAGGCTGCACGGCTCCTGCGCCCGGGCTCAAAGCACAAAGAGCAGGGGCCTCTGGCAATGGGTTTGAGGTACCCACACGCTGGGTGTTGTGCCTGGCAGCGCAGGAGGGGCTCCTGGGGCACCACGCAGCCCTGCCCTCACTGCGTGAACATTGGGGGAAAGCCAAATCTCGACCAGAAGGCAAGAAGCCGATGTTCAGCAGCACTTTTATTAGTTAACGAAACTGCATCACGTGGAAACATGTAACTGCTGTCATTAAAGCACTCTGAGGCGGGCTGAAGCAAGGAATGCAAAGAAGAACACCCCCGAGAGGCGGCTGCCTGCCGGTTGCTGCAGCCCAGGGCCTGCTCCACGTCCCAGCAAACAACTCTTCCCCTCCCACCCCAAACTCAAACACGGGCACTTTCGGATGATCTGCCCTTCCCATCAAACAAAACAACCAAAACCAATCAGCCCCGGTGCTTCCGGAGGCTGCCACAGCTGTCGGGAGCCTATCCCCACAAGGGCACACCCCAATTTCTGACTCACTTTAAGCTCTGGAATACCCCAGCATGTGAATTCCTTCCAGGAGCTTGGTTCAACAAACCCTGAGAGTGTCAGCCCAACAGAGGCGTTTCCAAACGACAGGGGATGCCTGAGGAGCAGGCAGTGAAACCCCAGCAGCACGGCTGCCCCACCATCGGGGCTGGGGTTTGCAGCCCCCCGATTTCAGGGGGCACCCTCACCTCTGCCACCCGCTCCCAGCTGTGCTGGGGGAACCTCGGGCCCAGCCCTCACCCCGGCAGACGCCCAGCGCTGGTTCCTCCACCAGCACCACCAGCAGGCAGCCCGTGCGCCCCATCCCACCTCTCGGGGGGCTGGCAGCAGGGAACGGGGTGCCCCGCAGCACCGAGGCCAGGCAGGTGCCAGCAGCCCAGGCAGCAGGGCAGGGTGTGGGGTCACAGCCCTGTTTTGGGGCGGTAACACAAACCTCAGAGTGAGAGCTGGCTGGGCACTGGCTCACGGATCCGACTCAGGAGGCGTTGGTCGGCACGGGAGGCTCAACTAGCACATGGGGCATCATGCATGCATCAGGATCCACCACGGCAATCTTCCTTCGCCTGCAAAAGAGTGGAAATGTCACCAACCCTGCACGCTGCCCCCTCCCCGTCCCCTGAGGCCAGGCCCCGCTGCAGGACGCCCCCAGCCAGACCTTCCCGGACCCCAGGAGCCGCCCCCGCGGTGGTTCCTATCCCACTGACCTCGGGACAGGAACCAGCCCAGAGCAGCTGCAGCACCAAGAGCACAGCTGCCGTGGGCAAACCCAGCAGGGAGCCCATGAGCCTTCAGAAAACTCCTCGCTACTTATCTAGGAAGTGTGAAATTGTATCTTACTGTGTTTATATTTATCCACACACACACAACGCTGCTTCAGCACAGCTTCCTGACTCCTAAGTGTCTGAGTCTGCCAGCAACCTTCTGCTGAGAACAGAAGTCCTAAAAACGGCGCGTCAGGCTCCAATCTTCACTGTGTCAGTGCAAACCCAGACCAACCCTGCTGGGCTCAGGACTCCCTAAAGAACCAGCGGCCGCCTGGGTTCCTTCTGCTCCTCCCGTGGGCACGCAGAGGAGGTGAGATCTCGCTCTGCCCACTGCCTGCTCCGCTCTCAGCTACAAACCCAGCACTGCCCAGCAGTGAGCAGCACGGGGGAGGCAGATTCCTGCCCCCAAACTGATACGACAGCCAGAGCACATCCCAGTGCCAGCTCCTGGCCCAGCACAGCCGCACCTCCCTCCCCCAGCAGCCATGGGTGCAATCCCAGTACCAAAGAAAGTCTGCGGGGCCGGTAAACACCTCACCAGGGCCCTCATCCACGAGGACATCCAGCAGCGAGCCCATCGCACTGCCCCGTGAACCCTCTGTGCTTCCCAGGGCCCTGCAGCCCACACCCTCACTAGGACTTTGGGGACACCGCTCACCCCATCCCTGCAGTGCAGGGAGCTCCTGAACCTGCTGCAGACCACAGCCATGTGCCCAGCAGCCAACAACACATCCACCCGGCAGGGTTTTGGGGCGTTTTGGACATCCCAACATGAACTGAGAGATGCAGGTGAGCCGCATGGCAGTGCTGGGGCAAAATCCAGCCCTGCCTGTGCACAGAGCCCTGGAGCAGGGGAGGCAGCTGCTGCCAGGCACAGCGCCGTGCCAAGCCGTGCCACGGGGCCGTGGGGCAGCCCAGCCCGGTGGCAGCGAGCTCCAGCCCCAGGCACTAGGACCCCGCGGGCGGTGAGCGCGGCGAGCCTGCGCCCTGCACAACTGCAGCATTTCCCGAGCCAGCGGCAGCGCCGCAACAAAGCCGGGTGAGGAGCTGGAAGCTGACAGCGCTCCGCAGCCCCCACAGCCCGGACCCTGCGGCTTTCTCCCCCACCTCAGCCGAGCCACCAGCACCACAGCCAGCAGCACAGCGCAGCGCAGGATGCCGCAGCCCCACCACATCGCCCTGCTCGCAGGGGCAGGTCAGTGCCAGCCGCCTGCTGCCCACAGCTCCCAGGGGTTCTGCTCGCCCCAGGAGCTGCCGCAGCCGCCCCTGCTCTGCCTCCCTGCTGCAGGGCTGGGAGCTGCCGCAGCCGGGTTTTGCTCCCGCTCCCTCCGGGACATTTTGGCCGAAGTGCTGGGACAGCTGCTGGCACATTCAGCGCCCACAGAGCCGCCTTCGCTCGCCTTTTGGAGCAATTACCCCTAAATGAGGATAATCCCAAACTTCTCTGCCTGGCTGCACTGTGGAGCTCCTGACCAACGGGACCCGGTTTCTCCCAGCACCGTGTAACCGCAGCTGCCCCAGCCCTGCTCACGGCGCCTCCCGGAGCCACCCGGCCACAGAGCCGGCACCGCGCCCCTCCACAGGAGGACCCTGCCCAGCCCCTGCGCGCTCCGTGCCCAGCTCTCTCGGTGCCGTTTTGTGACCGTTCGGGATTTTTTTAAGCGCCCAAACCCGGCCCCGCGGGCTCCTCGGGAACGGGAGCAGAGCCCGGCCCCGCGGCCATGCAGCTCCCACAGACCCTGCTGGGATCCGGGGCCTCGGCGGGGCGCGGCTCGGCCCTGCCCCCGGGACGGCCTCTGCCCCCCGGAGCCAACGGAGCCCCCGGGCCGCTCCAAGCAGCAACGACGCAGAGAGAACCGGATCACCGGGTAACCGAATAACCGGGATAACCGGATAACCAAATAACCGGATCACCGAAGAACCAGATAACCGGGTAACCGGGTAACCCAGCTCGCTGCTCCCCGGCCGGTCCCCCCTTTACCGCCGCAGGGAGCCCCCGCCCCGCCCGGGAACCGAGAAGGAAAATGGACGGGACCGGGACCGGGACCAGGACGGGACCGGGCCTCGGCCGAGGCCGCCCAGGCGGAGGCTCCGGGACACGGAACCCACGCGGTGCCCGCCTCCGGGACCGGGCCCGGCGCAGCGCCCCAGGTACGGGGGGTCCGGGGGGTGCCCGGGGGGCTCCGGTAGCGGCCGCGCCGCCTCCCAAGGCCCGGCCCGGCCCCGCCGCCCCCTGCCGCCGGCGGAGGGCCCGGCCCGGCCCGGACCCCGCGCGGGGGAGCTGTGGGGGTCTGGGGGGTCTGGGGGGCTCTTCCCCGGGGCTCCTCCCCCGCCCCCGCCCGCCCGGGGGGTCCCGGTGCCGCCCCTCCCCCCGCCCGGTACCTGCCGCCGCCGCCGCCGCCGCGCCCCGCGCCCGCCCTCGGCCGCCGCCGGCCCCGCCCGGCCTCCCAAGGCCCCCGCGAGGCCCCCCCCGGGGCTGCCCGGCGCCACGCCGCTCCGCAGGGCCTGAGGCCGGCAGCGCAGTGGGCCGGCAGGCGTGGAGCGGGGCAGCCCGGCGGGGAGGGAAGGGCGGAAGGGGCCTGAGGCCGCGCGCAGGCGCGGTGCGGGGGGTGAAGCCGGCCGGGCGCTGGGGGCACCGGGCAGGGCCGGGCCGGGCGGGGCAGGGCGCGGCCGGGGGGCGGGGCCGGGCGGGAGCCGGAAGCGGGACGGGAACGGAGGGGACCGGGACGGGACCGGGACGGGACCGGGAGCGCCGCCGGTAAGTGCCGGGGCTGGGGGCGGCCCAGGCCGGTCCCCATCCCCCCCCCCCGGTCCCGGTCCCGGTCCCGGTCCCGGCGGCAGGAGCGGGGCCGCTCGGCCCCGGGGGGCGGCCCCGGCCCGGCCCAGCCGCACCCTCCCGGTGCCCGGTGCCAGCCCCCGGGTCCCGCTCGGTGCCAGCCCGGCCGCAGCCGTTACCGCCCCCCCGCCGCGCTGCTCGGCCCCGGGGCCCGTCCCGCCGGCCGGGGGGGGTCGCGGTGGGGACCCCTGGGTCACTGCTCGGGGTCTCCGCCTGTCCCGGTGCCACCGGGGCTCCTGCCCGCGGGTTCGTCCCCGTGCGGAAATACCCGAAACCCACCCAAAATCAGCTCCGGCCCCCCCGAGCCCCGGTGCCCCGGGGGCAGCTCCTGACCCCCCCGCTCTCCCCCCCCCCAGCAGCAGATGCCCAGGAGGAAGCCGGTGGCGGCGCTGGGCAGCCTGTGCCTGCAGAGCCTGGCGCAGCACATGCAGAGCGTGTGGGTGAAGGATTACAGCGACAACTACCTGGACGAGTACCAGTTCCGATTCGTCATGGGCCCCTTCAACGACCTGGGTGAGCCGTGGCGGGGGGTGAGGGGGCGCGGGAGGGTGAGTGGGGCCGGGGTCCCGCTCGCTGACCCCCCCCCGATGTCCCCCCCCCCAGCCGGCAGCCTGGTGCAGGATCTCATCCGGCTGCTGGGCGAGAGCCGCCGCCTGACGCGAGCCGCGCTCCACCTGCTGCTGGTGCCGCACCTCCAGGAGCTCAGCCTGCGCCCCTGCCCCAGCCTCGTCAGCAACGCCATCGGCCAGCTCGTCACCGTGCGCTGCAAGGTGGGCGGCGGGGACGGGGGTAATCACCCATCGGGGGGCTGGGGCTGACCCGTGGGGATGGGGGCTGGGGCTCAGCACAGGGGCTGGCAGCCGGGGTGCTCCGGTCCTTGGCTGGCGTCTGGGGTGAGGGTCTCTGGGTCCCTCCATCCCGGCCCTGCCTGGCTCCCTGCCCCACATCTCCCACAGCCGATGCCGTGGGGCTGAGGCTGGGTGTGAGACCACCCACCCCACTGGGGGTACAGGCTGGGAGCCACAGCCCCCGTGAGGCAGCCGGGGTGGCTGCCCGGTAATAGGGAGCAGGGTGTGGGGTCCCCCCGAGCCCCGCGCCCTGCTGAGGAGGCTCCGTGTGTCGGCGGCAGAGCCTGAGCGCCCTGGACCTGCACGGCTGCAGCCGGCTGTCGGCGGACGTGCTGGTGGACCTGGTGGAGGAGCTGCCGCTGCTGAGCCGCCTGGGGCTGGCGGAGACGCAGGCCAACGTCCAGGTGCTCTCGGCCGTGGGCTCCTGCTGCCGGCGCCTGCGGGAGCTGGACGTGTCCCACTGCAAGAAGGTGTCACCCCGCGCCCTGCGGCACCTGGCCTACGACCCGCTGGAGCGAGCCCTCTGCTGCCCCGCACTCCGCGTCCTCCTGGCCCGCGGCCTCGAGCCGGCGGGGGACGGCGGCATGGTGGCGGCGCTGGCCTTCCTGCTGCTGGCCCTGCCGCGCCTGGAGGTGCTGGCGCACGGCGCCGTGCCGGACGCGCTCTGCCTCCTGCACGCGCAGCAGCTGGGCGGCGGGGGGGACGCCGACGGCTTCCCCTCGCTGCAGGAGCTGCTGGCGCGGCGGCAGAACGGCTCCCGGCTCACCCTGCCGCTGCGGCGCCTGGAGGAGGTGGAGGAGCCCGTCCTCGCCACCGTCTGTGCCCTGTGCCCCGAGGCCGAGGAGGCCGGCGTGTGGCTGGGGGACGGCGTGGCGGCCGGCTGGGACGCGCTGCGCTGGGGCCGCCTGGCGCGGCTCAGCCTGTCCTGCACGGGGCCGCGGGGCCGGGCGCTGGGCGAGGTGCTGCCGCTGGCACGCAGCCTGGGCCCGCAGCTGCAGAGCCTCGCCCTGCACGGCTTCTGCTACGAGGACGAGCTGTCGCTGGGCGCCCTGCTCTGCAGCTGCCCCAACCTGCAGGCCTTCAGCACCGAGCTGCAGGCCCCGCCGGGCGCCCGCCCCGAGGAGGAGCCCCCCGACGAGCCATCCCGCTGGGACACCGACCTGCTGCCCCACGCCTTCCCCCAGCTGCAGCGCTTCTCCCTGTCCCTGGACAGCAGCGCCAACCCTTTGCCGGTCCCGCACGGGCTGGTGCTGCGTGCCACGCTGGCCTCGCTGCTGTGCCACTCGCCGCGCCTGCAGAGCCTCTCCCTGCTCAGCATCCCCTTATCACTGGACTCGGTGTTCGAAACGGTGCTGGCGGCCCCGGGGCCGCCCCTGCTGGAGCTGCGGGAGCTCTCGCTGGTCGGGAGCCAGGTGTCCAGCCAGACTGTGCAGCTGCTGCTGGCCTCCGACGGCCGCCTGTGCCGCCTGGACCTGTCCCACTGCCGCGACATTTACCGCCGGGACTACGACGGCTTCCTGCAGGCGGTGCGCAAGCAGCGGCTGGACCTGGACATCACCTGGGAGTAGGCGCCCAGCCTGGAGAGCGGGTCTGGCCGTACAGAGCTCTTTAATAAAGGAGTTGCACTGCGAGCGCTGCGACTGCCCGTGGCCGCTGATGACGCCTCTGCCCCGTCCCAGCGCAGCTGCGCTCCCCGTGCCCTGCTGGGGAAGGGGCTGGGGGGGCTCAGCCGTGTGTTGTGGTGGTGGCACCGCAGGAGCTGGGGAAGCGCCCCGCACCCCGGCGCTGGCTGCAGCTCGGGGGATGCCAGGCGGCTCGGCAGCCCAGGGCTCCCCCAGCAGTACCAGTTCAGTTCTGGGGGCCTGCCAGCAGCCCCGTCAGCCTCTCCGACTCCTCCCAGAGCTTGCGAGCCAGGCCGGCGTCGCGGGCGGCTGCGGAGGGGAGCACGAGGCCGCAGTCGCTGTCGAAGTACTTGCCCGTGATGCCCGAGACCTCCTCCGAGATGGCGCAGTAAAGGGTGCTGACGGCGCCCTGCTCCGCCGACTGCCGGGGGAGGGACGGTTGAGGAGGGGGCCCTGCTGCCCCTGCCCAGCCCGGCGCCCCCCGGCTGTGGGGCAGCTCCCGCTCAGCCCCCCGGTGCCTGCGCTCACCTTGATGAAGGGGCGGATGAGGAAGAAGAGGGTGCGCAGCGGCCAGCTGAAGCGCCGCATGATTCCGGTGCTCACCACGCCGGGGTTCACGCTGTTGGTGGTCACCCCTGCCCCCGGCGGCACCATCAGCACCCGCTCCGCAGGCACCGGGCAGCCGGCACCGTGCCCAAGCAGGGACTGGGGCACGGGCAGAGGTGGTGGGATCGCCCTGGGAAAGAAGGGCCGGGCCCCTGCACCCCCCAGGGCAGAAAGAAGGGCCCTGTCCCTGAGCCCCGCTCTCCCACCCATGGGACATGCGGGGGTCCTGGGGTGTTTCTGAGAGGGCTGAGCCCCTTCAGCCCCCTGTGCAGCTCCTGGGGCTCAGCACAGCAGCAGGGTGCTGTGGGGACAGGGGGGTGGCCCTGAGGTGCAGCCACCCCTGGGAACCTGAGGCCAAGCAGGGCACAGCATGGCACGGCATGGCACGGCACGGCATGGCACAGCACCCACCTGTGCCCTGCAGGCGCTGGGCCAGCTCGGCGGAGAACAGGACGTTCATCAGCTTGGTGCTGTTGTAGATGGGGTCGTAGCCGCCGGGCTGCGCCTGCCCGGTGAGGTAGCGGATGTCGACGGTGCCCACGGCGTGGCGGAAGGACGAGACGTTGACGATGCGGGCGGGTGCCGAGGCCTTCAGCAGGTCTGTGGGGTGCAGGGGGTGAGCGGGGTGGCCCCCAGCCGCCCCCAGCCACCCCCAGCCCCGGCGGCCCCCGCACTCACCCAGCAGCAGGTTGGTGAGCAGGAAGGGGCCCAGGTAGTTGGTGGTGAAGGTCTGCTCCAGCCCCTCCGCCGTGATGCTCAAGGGCAGCCCTGCAGGAGGTGCAGGGAGCCGTGGGGCTGCCGGCCGGGCAGGCGTCACCCCCCCGGGCAGGACGGGGAGCGGGGCCCCGGTGCGTACCGGTGAGGCCGGCGTTGTTCACCAGCACGTCCAGCCGCGTCTCCTCCCGCAGCACCGCCTGGGCAAAGGCGCGCACGGAGGCCAGCGAGCTGGTGTCCAGCAGGCGCAGCAGCACCGCGGGGTTGCCAGTGGCCGCGCGGATCTCCTCCACCGCCGCCTGGCCCCGCTCCCGGCTCCGGCACGCCAGGATGGTGCGGGCGTTCCTGCGGGCCAGCTCCAGGGCCACGCACTTGCCGATCCCTGCAGGACACGGAGCGAGTGCCAGGCTGGTTGCCTCCCGGGCCCTGTGGCGAGGGGAGCCCCCAGGGTCCGTGCCCACCGCCCCCAGGGCCCGTGCCAGGCAGCTCGGGCACTGCCAGGAGCCTGGTGCTGAACCACGGGCACCACAGCCCCGAAGCAGGAGGCATCACTGCGGGGCCAAAATGGGGCCGGCAGCCCCAGGGCGCAGGCAGTGCAGTGCAGGGGGGCTGAGCGGGATGGGGATGGGGATGGGGATGGGGATGGGGATGGGGATGGGGATGGGGATGGGATGGGGATGGGGATGGGATGGGGATGGGATGGGATGGGGATGGGATGGGATGGGGATGGGGATGGGATGGGATGGGGATGGGATGGGGATGGGATGGGATGGGATGGGGATGGGATGGGGATGGGGATGGGGATGGGATGGGATGGGATGGGATGGGGATGGGGATGGGATGGGGATGGGATGGGATGGGATGGGATGGGGATGGGGATGGGATGGGGATGGGGATGGGGATGGGGATGGATGGGGATGGGGATGGGGATGGGATGGGGATGGGGATGGGATGGGGATGGGGATGGGGATGGGGATGGGGATGGGGATGGGGATGGGGATGGGGATGGGGATGGGGATGGGGATGGGGATGGGATGGGGACGAGGATGGGGATGGGATGGGATGGGGATGGGGATGGGGATGGGGATGGGGATGGGGATGGGATGGGGATGGGGATGGGGATGGGATGGGGATGGGATGGGGATGGGATGGGGATGGGGATGGGGATGGGGATGGGGATGGGGATGGGATGGGGATGGGGATGGGGATGGGGATGGGGATGGGGATGGGATGGGGATGGGGATGGGGATGGGGATGGGGATGGGGATGGGGATGGGGATGGGGATGGGGATGGGGATGGGATGGGGCAGGACAGGATGGGAAGGAGCCAGGGGTGGCAGATCGCTGCAGCTCGGTCAGGGCTCGCCTGGAGCACACAGCACAGCCGTGGTCACCGAGCCCACGCGTGGCCCTGTGGCAGCCCCATGCCATGCAGAGGGGGCCGGGTGGGAGCAGCTTCGAGGCAAGGCAGTGCCGGGGGCGGCTGGCACCGTGGTGGCCTGCGGGGACAGGAGGCACCGGGGTGGCCTTGGCTGTCAGTCATTAACCCAGAGGGGACAGAGTCCAGGCTCAGGGAGCTTCCCAGAGCCTGGCGAGGGAGAGCAGCTCCCGGGCAGAGGATGCCAGCGGGCAGCAGGTCCCCAAGCACGTGTCCGGTGGTGAGCCTGGGGCAGGGCACGGAGGCACCGGGGGCACAACCTGCACACCCTGGGGACCGGCTGCCAGCCTCTCCTGGGGCCATTTGTGCCTCCACAGCAAGGCTGACAGCTGGAGAGGGGGGTCCTGTGGCAGCCAAGCCCCGTGGCCACGCGGGGTCCCACAGCCCCGCGCCCCTGTCCTGCATCTCCCCAGCCCCCCGCGTGGCATCCCGTCCCCGTGCACCCCACGCCCCCAGCACCATCTCACCGCTGTTGGCTCCGGTGACAATGACCGTCTTGCCCGTCAGGTCGGTGGGGCACTTGCGTGGGTCCCAGCCTTGTCTCCTCCTGGCCCAGAGCAGCAGCCCCAGGACCAGCGCCAGCACGGACCAGCCCGGGTGGCTGCAGGCGCTCGGCAGCTCCATGGCTGGGGACAGAGGAAAGAGCGTGTCCGGGGCACCGAGATCTGCACGGGGGACAGAGTCCAGCTGAGGACCTTCGTTCAGCCCCACAGCCGTGGCACGCCGTGGTGTCCCCTGCCTCCCAAGCCAGGACAGCCAGCAGGACCTGGGGCTCACTCCAGGGAGAGGCCAGGCTGGGCACGCTGTGTCCCGCACGGCTCCCGGCCCCGCTCGCCCATGTCTCTGGGAACCCCTCCGGGAGCCCCGGGGGCAGCTGTGCCACGAGGGCTGGCTGGGTCGGGACAGCCCCGAGGTCCCCGTCCCACCAGGCAGGGACAGGCTCAGCCAGCAGCCGGGGCCGTGCTGGAGGGGTCCCCCAATGTGCGGAAAAGACCCCACAACCACAGGGTTGTAGGATAGGGACACTGCATTGTGCCGCATCCAGCGCACTGGGAATAGCTTCCCCCAAAAAGTGCGTGCCTGCCCGGTCGTCTCTCACAACTTTATACAAGAATCCTCTTACATATTCCATGACTCTAATACATATTTCTTAATTTCCCCGAAAAGGCAGACCTCTTCCAAGTACTCATTCCCATACTCCCTGCCCTTCGCTCCTCCCGGTTGCGCCTGTACAATGCAGCCTGGTGGTCGTGGGCAGGGGGCTTTCAGGAAGAAGGCAACGAGGAAGAGGAGGTTAAACTTTTTACCTTTCAGGATTTTGCCTTTTGTTGGACAGTATTTAGGCCTTTTTTACTTATCTTTGCCTCTGTGGAGGTTTTACCACGCTAGGCAGCTAAACACCACAACCGCTCTCTCGCTCCCCCTCCTTAGATGAGGAGGGGAAGAAGTAAAGCAAAGAACAACTCACAGGCTGAGATAAGGATAATTTAATTAAAGGGAAATAATAATAATAATTATTAGTACAGCCCTGTGTCCTGCCAAGTTGGTCATACTTCCCCAGTGAGTTCGTTCTTCCCTCATCCTTTGGCCTTGAGCCATATCTTCTTTTTACATCTGCTTGTCATAAGGTTCTCATCCGCATCCCTATAATTAGGGTATTTTAACAAATATGTAGCTAAATACTAATTCAGAAAAGTTTTAGCATCTTCCCCGTCTCAATTCCCCCCTTTCTTCCAAATTAAGTAAATTCTTTTACCTAGTACTTAAAGCACTAAGCACTAAGTACTTTACTTAGAACTCTAAATCGGTTCCTGCTCTTTGGGACTGATCAATATACCTACAGCAACTCTGCTTTATTACAGTGCCCACTCCCCCTTCCTTCACTGCTAATAAATCTAATGCCATTTGGTTTTGTAAAACCACCTTCCTGAGGGACGAGATTTCTACCTGTAGTGCTTTTATCGCGTCTGTGGTGGAATTCTCCACCCGTTCTAATTCGGCTGAAATATTTACTATTGCCTTTTCCAAATCGCTCAGGAGATCCAGGAGCTCAGGTGGTGACTCGGAGGGTCCTTGCTTAATTGCACCCAGAGCTGACCAGTTTAGGGTCTTGGGAACGACCCCCTCCATTCCCTTCGAAATCCACCCCTGATAGGCCTGGAAGCTCTCCGTATGGACCGACCTATTTGGGTCCCATTTGGGATCTTGAAGGGGGAGGTACCCTTAACATCCCCTCCTGCAGCCTTATAATGTTCCTCAGCCGAATCTGCTGCAGTTTTCAGAATCAGCCGTTTCTCTGTTTCTGTCATATACCCCAATACCAGCTGAATATCTTGTCCTGGTCCCCGATGAATTTTACTTATCTCAGTACACCTCTGCCCGATGCTGCCCGCTGAACAGCACCGCCTCAATTTGCCTTTAAGTCCCTTGTTGTTTCCTCCCTCGAGGGCTAACACCGCGGGGTCCTGTGGAGGCACAGTTCCACAGTCCCTCTGCCACCCCGGGTGATTTCAGAGTGAAAACCATGTCTACATGCACAGCCTCATCCCATTTACTTTCTTTTCTCAGTAACAACATCAGCTGTAATATAGTGCTATAATTAATAGCTCCAATTAGGGGCCACTGCTCTCCATCTGATTTATAAAGTGGCCACCACTGATTACAGGATTTGATGAGTTCTTTTACTCTCTGTCCCCCCTCGCCCCACTACATCCCTCCCATGTGTAAGCACACATCCTAAGGGGCTTTTCTGTGAGATTTCTTTGCTTTGGCCCTGTCCCGTTCTGATCTCTAGCAGTTAACGTTCCAACGTCCTCCCAGGAGCTGCTTACTGGTTTATCCCAATTCCCTCCCAAATCCACAATATACGCAAACAAAATCAGGGCACCCTAAATCAACTGCCTGTAGACGGTTGCACCAAGGACAGCTGAGCCTGAAGGACCGGTAATACGCCAGAGCAAATGTAGTTCCCTTTGGCATACACCCTGATGGCAGTTCCTATATTACACTGTATTTACGTATCTTTACAGATGTTTAAAAAAATACTTTAACAACAAAAGCCCGGGCCTTTACAAAGACAACATGCAATCATTATTCCAATTAGAATTGTTCCCCCAGCAGCTGCAAACACCGTGCCAGTTACCATTAAAGCTCTCTTATCCTCCTCCCGTCTCTTCCACAATCTTTTAGGAGGTTCCTTGTGGTTTCTGGAACCAGGGTACAACGGCTTCTACCCCAACCCCGTTTGGCCACTCAACCAGCCACCTCCCAGGACGCCCTCGGGGTTCATGTCACGAGCTAGAAGTCTCTGTGCGGCTTATCAACCTCCCCGGCCAATTGGCTTACCTTTATTAAGGCATCATACCGTTTGTCTGCAGCCACAGGATCTTCCTCCATCCCCGCAGTGAGCGGCTGGGAGAGGAGCTCCTCCGAGAGAGAGAAGGTTCAGGGCGCACCTAGGAGGTCTGCTCCATGGTCGAAGAGAGCCCTCCTGCCTGGCTCGCCAAACTGACGCGCAGAAAAGACTCAACCACAGGGTTGTAAAATAGGTATACTTTATTAATAGGTACACTTCATTAGTAGGGATACTTCATTAGTAGGTACACTTTATTGCGGTGCACCGAACGCACTTTTTGAGGGAAGCTATTCCCAATGCGCCCAGCAGTTTGGGGACACCGGCACCGCTCTTCTCCTTGGCACACTCCTGGCCATCTCCTTCTGGTCATTCCATCGGCAGCAGCACCGGCGGTGCTCCCTGGGGAACGTTTCCAGCTCCCCCGGGCACAGACAACTCGAAGCATCTGGTGCTGGATGAGCATCACCGGCCCCGCTCTGCCGCTGCTCCCTGGCCACGCCGGGCATTTCCCCGGTGCCAATCCCCGTCCCCAGCTGAGCCACCCCTGAGTACCAGCAGACCGGCACAGCCCAGAAATGGTTCTTTTTAGCAAAACTGGGGCACTTGTGCAGCCAGAGAGCTGTCAGAGCCAGCCCTGTGGTGGCTCAGTCCCCCAGCCGAGCTGAAAAGCTGGCCTGATAAATGATTGCTGCCGAGTGCTGCTTCCCAGGTGCTACGGGAGCACCTCGGGTTTATTTGCTTTGTTTCCCAGAGCTTGTGAAGAGCTCAACCTCACCACGTGCTGCATCCATCGGTGGCACTCAGCCCACAGGACGAGCCCGCACCCCCAGCATGCGGTGCAGCACCGGAGCTCCGGCAGGGCGAGGGGGCTGGTGGGCACAGGGCTGGTGGGCACGGGGCCGGTGGGTATGGGGCCAGCAGCAGGCAGGGAGCTGTTGGAGCTCGTTCCCCAGCCCATGCCCCATGGGTCACCTCCGGTGCCCGCAGCTCTGCCCTCCCAGCCCGGGGCTGCCCGGTGCACGAGGCTGGGGAGCAGCAGGGGTGCGGGCACCCAGCCTGGCGCAAGGCGGTGCCTCGTGCCCGCAGTGAGGGCGCACACGGTGCTGCAGGACACCGGGAACCCCCGGTGCCAGACCCGGCAGCTGCTGGGAAATGCCCAGGAGAGGAGGGGAGGGAGCGGCGTTGGAGGCGCTGGGTTAGGAGCTGGCTGCCAGCAGCAGCCCTGGGACACACAGAGCCTACAGAGGGGAGCAGGGGGTCGGCACCCACAGTGCCCACGGCTCTGTGCGGGACACGCTGGGATGGGAACGGGGCTGGCCCCGAGCAGAGAGGTCCCCGCACACCAAACACTGACCCACAGCCTGGGAGGTGTTGGATGGGTGCTGCATTCAATGCGGGCCATAGCCGGTGACCTGGCTCACTGACACAGTGGGGAAGGGCACAGCGGGGCGCAGGGGCCTCAGGTCCCGCCTGGCCTCCCCCATCTCCTCCTCCTCCTCCTCCTCGTGGTGTGCAGGGAGGCAGAGCCCGTGCCTCTCGCCTTCTCCACGCCTGATGGTGACACCAGGGGCCAGCCGGACGGCACCCAGCAAGGAGCCCAGCTCTGGGGGCTGGGGGCTGCTGGGCTGCCGGGCCCCCGGGGCAGGCGGCAGGAGCTGTGCCCCCCCTGCAGCTGCCAGCCCCAGGGGGGGCAGCGAGCTGCCCGGCCCCTCGCGCCGCACGGAGGGGCTCCGAGGCTCCCGGCTGTGCCGGCGGGCGGCTGGGGGACACGGCTGCCACTTGGCCTCCTCGCCCGGGTCCAGCACCTCCACCTGGGGCCGGATCCAGCGCCTGGAGGGGTCCAGCCGGGAGGTTCCCAGCGTGGTGCCGGGCTTACCACACGCCCTCGCCTTGCTGCATGGGGGCCTCCCCGTCTGGATCTTCACCAGGGGTCTGCAGGAGAGAGGCAGCAGCAGCCCATCCACGCTGACCTCCGCCGTGCTGCCAGCCTCCCTCTGTGCCAGGGGCTCCGGGCTCTTGAGGCCAGGCGAGGGCTTGGGCTGGTGCCGGGGCTGGCGGTGGGGCCGTGCCACGGCAGGGTGGAGTGGGGCTGGCTGTGGGGCTGGCTGTGGGGCTGGTCGTGGCGCTGGGCTGGGGGAGCTGCTGGATCTTCCCCTGGGTGTCTGGGGAGCGGTGAGCGCCCCGTCCTGCAGCAGAGGCGCGTGGGAAGGTGCTGGCACACCGCGGGGTGCCGAGGAGGCGCACTCGGCCTCGGCCAGGACGGTGTCGGTGCTGGAGACCTGGCCAGGACACAGGGGCAGTGCTGGGGCAGGGCACGCTGCCTGCACAGCCCCAGCCACGGCCCCCACCTGCGGCACCTGCCCAGGAAGGGCAAAGCTGGGGGGAGCTTTGGGGGGGGTCAGGGGGATGTGCTCAGCATGGGCTGGCTCCGAGGGCTGCCCCCGTGTCAGGGGGTGCAGCGGGGGCTGCTCGGGCTGCACCAGGGCTGCTGCAGGCACTGGTCCCTCGTCACCCACACAGCCCTATGGCATCATGCAGGGGACACGGGGATGGGAACTGTTCCAAACCCATTCCAATGCCCTGAGCAGCCGCAGCAAGCACCCAGACCCCTCCTGCCCCTCACCCAGACGTGGCCGTGGCTGTGAGGACCCCCGGGCTCAGCCCCAGCCAGCCGAGCTCCCCCCCAGACCCCACGCACAGGAGGAAGGAAAACCCAGGGTGTGCAGGGCGCAGGAGGGGCCGGGGGGCTGTCACCTCTCTGTCCCCCGGGCACGGGGACGGGTGCTCCTGCAGGACGGGAACCGAGCCCTGAGCCCAGGCGTCGATGGCACAGGGTTGGGGCTCCTCGTCCTCCTGCCAGGCGCCACCTTCCAGCTCCGCGTCCCCCTCGTCCCGCGCCTGGAAGCGCCACTCGGCCACCTGCAGCACGGCGTCCCTCGCCTGGCTCACGGTGAAGGGCACGCGCTGCGGGCACAGGACCCGCCTCGGTGCCCGCTGCGGTGGCAAAGAGGGGCCCACGGGGACGGTGGCCGCGGTGTCCCCCAGGCAGTGGGGGGCTGCCCACCTGCCGAGCCAGGTAGAGCTGGAAGCACTCCTCCAGCACGCGGCCCAGCAGCTCGGCCAGGACGTCCCCCACGTCCCCGTCCCCTTCCTCAGCCGCCAGCAGCGCCAGCCACTGCGCCTCGCTCAGGCGCCCCGGGACGATGTCCGTGGGGCCGGCGGTGGCCGTGGAGGGCCGGGACTTGTCCCCGCGCAGCCTGGAGGCGGCCGCGCGCTCGCGGGAGGCCATGCCCTGCACCGACACCGCCAGCCCTGAGGCCGTGCTGCCCGCGGTGCCCAGGAGGAGCCCGGCAGGGCTGGGGGCTCCCCGCTGCCACCCAGCACCCCCTGGGCTGGCACCCCCCGCACCCACCACACTCCTCAGTGCCCCCAGTTCCTCCCAGTGCCCCCAGTCTATCCCAGTGCCCCCAGCACATCCCAGTGTCCCCAGTACATCCTGGTGACCCCCAGCCCCTCCTGGTGTCCCCAGCACATCCCAGTGCCCCCAGTACATCCTGGTGACCCCCAGCCCCTCACAATGCCCCTCTGCCCCTCCTGGTGCCCTCAGCACATCCCAGTGCCCCAGTCTATCCTGGTACCTCCCAGTTCCTCCCAGTGCCCCCAGCTCCTCCCAGTATACCTCAGCCCCTTCCACTGCCCCTAGCACTCCCCAGTGCCCCCAGCCCCTTCCACTGCCCCCAGCACATCCCAGTGCCTCCCAGTTCCTCCCAGTGCTTCCCAGTTCCTGCCAGTGCCCCCAGTCTATCCCAGTGCCCCCAGCACATCCCAGTGCCCCTAGCTCCTCCTGGTGTCCCCGGTGCATCCCAGTGCCTCCCAGCACTCCCCAGTATCCCCCAGCACATCCCAGTGCCCCCGTCCATCCCAGTGCCCCCCAGTTCCTCCCAGTGCCCCCAGGTCCTCCCAGTATCCCCCAGCACATCCCAGTGCCCCCGTCCATCCCAGTGCCCCCAGCTTCTCCCAGTGCCCCCAGCTCCTCCCAGTATACCTCAGCCCCTTCCACTGCCCCCAGCACTCCCCAGTGCCCCCAGCCCCTTCCAGTGCCTCCAGCACATCCCAGTGCCTCCCAGTGCCTCCCAGTACCCCCAGCCCCCCCCAGTTCCCCTCCCCTCCCGGTGCCCCCATCCCACCCGCCCCCCCCCCAGCGCTCACCCACCCGTGCCCGTGCCCACGGAGCCCCCCGGGACCCCCCGCTCCCCCCTCGCACCCCTCCCCGCGGCGTCGCGGTCTCCATGGCGACGCGGCCCGGCCCCGAGGCGCGGCGGTGACGTCTCCCCGCGCGTGACGTCATCACGCGGCGCCGCCGTCTCCATGGCTGCGGCGGAGCGGGGCTGAGGCGGAACCGGGAACACCGGGGGGACACCGGGGGGGGCTCCGGGATGTACCGGCGGGACAGGAGCGTGCAGCTGGGCGGCAGCAGCTCGGCGCTGTACAACAACCTGAGCGTGCTGCGCCTGCCGCAGCGCCAGCTGGCCTGCTTCTGCACCGTGCACGGCCCCGCCGTTAACGTGCTCAGCGCCGCCACCGACGGCCTGGGCGGCTCCCAGCGACAGCTGCGGCCCCCGCCCGCCGCACCGGCAGCCGCCGCCGCCGCCGTCACGCAGGTGGGGCCGGCGGGGACGCCCCGGGCCCTCCCCCGGTCCCAGCCCCGGTCCCGGTCCCGGTCCCGGTCCCGATCCCGATCCCGGTCCCGGTCCCGGTCCCGTTCCCGTTCCCCGTTTCCCGTTCCCCTCCCGGCACCCCGAGGCAGGCGGCGCTCCCCGGTGATGCCCGGGCCTTGCTGCATTCCCCCGCCCGGTGCCCGGTGCCCGGTGCCCGGTGCCCGGTGTCCGGTGCCGGGCGGGCAGAGGCAGGGCCCTGCCGAGGGGGGGGGCTCCGGTACCGGGAGGAGGCGGTGGGGGGGAAGGAGCCCCCCGGGGAGCCTCCCGAGGGGCCCCGTGTGGGCCTGGGGGGTCGCTGAGGTCAGAGCCCAGCGTGGCTGTGGGGAGAGGGGGCCCGATTTTGGGGGGGGGGGGGCTGGGAGGTCCTGCCCGCAGCCCCCTCCCCAGCCCCTGACTGCGCTGTGCTCCCCTGCAGGCCGCCTGGTGCGTGCTGCCGGCCCGCGTGCTGCTGGTGCTGACCTCGCAGAAAGGCGTCCAGGTGAGGGGGCTCCTGTGGGGTGGCCGGGGCCGGGGGTGGGCTGGGGGCAGCCGGGCTCTGGGGCCCGGGGCTGTGGGAGCAGCTCTCCCCGCAGCCAGCTCTCACCCTGCTGCTTTTTCCCTTCCCAGATGTATGAGTCGGATGGCTCCGTCATGGTTTACTGGCACGCGTTGGACGTCACAGAGCAGCCACAAGGTGAGTGCCGCAGGGGGAGCGCAGCAAGAAGCCCCCAGACCCCCCTGTGCTGCTCCTGGGGGTGTGGGGTCAGGTGTTCCCGTTGGGCAGCCTGGTTCCTGCCGGCCTGGGACCCCAGCAGCATTGTCCCCACGTCCAGGCAGGGCTGAGGCAGGCTCGGTAGAAGGGTCTGGAGGAGGTTTTGCACCATCCTGACTCCCCCGTCCAGGCTTCACGAGGGCCTAGGAAGGCTGGAGGGGCCCTGTGGCAACCACGGGACTGGGGGTGACACCGAGCCGGGGGTTCCCGTGGGCTGCCCCAGGCTGCAGCCAGCTCTCGGTTCCTTCCAGCACAAGCCGTGTTTGCCCGAGGGATCTCTGCAGCTGGAGAACGCTTCATCTGCGTGGGTGAGTGACGTGGGGCAGCCAGAGGGAAGGCAGGGACACGCCAGGTGGCCTTCGGTGCCCCAGGTGGACCGGGGCGACGTGGGGGCAGCTGTGCCCGGCAGAGGGGTCGGTCTGCGCAGCCTCACACAGACAGAGCTGGGGGGGAGCGGAGCATGGCCACGGGCACGGCAGGAGCTGGGGGCTCGGCCGTGGGACGCGTCCCCACTGACACCTCCGGTCCGGTCCCCCCGCAGGGACGTCCTCCGGGACGGTGCTGGTGTTCGACATCCCCCACAAAGGGACCAACGTGACGGTGAGCGAGGTCCTGGAGGAGCACCGCCACGCCATCACCGACATCGCGGCGGAGCTGGGCCAGGCTCCGGTACGTGCGTGGCCACCGGGGCCCTGGCTGTGGGAGGGGGCTCTGGGGGCTCCAGCTGCCCCTCGGCGTGGGGGCTGCCCGGGGCCTTTCCCCGTGTGTGGCAGCGCAGCCAGCCCGGTCCCCGTGCAGGCTGTAGGGCAGCCGAGGCAGCTCCCCCTGCGGTGCAGGGCGCAGGCAGCTCTCACCTCCCTTCCTTCACCCAGGACGTTGGCTCCCGAGGCTGCCGTGGCACCGGGGGGGTCTCTGCTGTTCGGGGAGGTCAGGACAGGTCCCTGCTGCAGCCCGTATCCCAGCTGGCTGGCTCAGCGTGGCGTGCAGCAGAAGCAGGTTGTGATGGGGAGCAGCTCCAAGCGCTGTGTGTGCAGGCTGGCATTTTGGGGCTCTTCCTTCTGCTCACACAGCTGGGAGCAGCCCCCCCGCCAGCTGTCCCGGCTGTGCTGGCAGCGTTCAGCCAGTTCCTGCCCCTTCAGCTCCTCCATCTCCCTGTCTCTGAGCTGACCGAACCTCAGTCCCGGTCACCCAAAGTCTCGTAAAACAAACAGTGCAGAGGCAGAACCGTCCTGACAGGGATGAGCTGAGGCCCTCCCGCAGGAAGGGTGGCCGTGGGCGTGTGAGTAATGGCCAGAGAATATCCTGTGAGGCAGCGGGGTGCGTGCCAGAGCACACAGCAGCTATTGAAGCCCAGGGCCGGTCTGCTACACGAGCAGATGAGCAAAACCAGCCCTGAACAAACACACGCTGAACTCAGGCTCCCAGCGTGCGGGCAGGGAGCTGCTGGGGCAGACCCTCCCCAGGGCGGGGGGGCGCAGCCCTGTCACACCCCAACCCGGAGCAAGCCCAGACACCGAGCTGCCGGTGCAGAGCGCGGTTCTGCTCCCCAGGAGCGGGGGGGGGCCGAGAGCTCCGCACCCGGGGCCGGGTGCAGGAGGTGCCTGAGGCCAGGAGCCTGCTTCCCCTCGCTAAATTCCCCGGATGGACGGAGCTGTCCTGTCCGAGCCGCCTCTGACACCGCGGTCACCTTCCTGCTGCCACACACAGATCCTCCTGCTCTCAGAGCAGGCTGCAGCCAGGATGGGGCTCCCTCCACTTCAGTCCGTTCGGGTTGACATTTCTGCAGATGCACTAATTGGCTTCCTCATTACTGGCTGCACACTTCCCAACGAGGACACTTTCAAACACTTTCTCTAATTAGGTACATTTAACTTGCTCTGCGCTTGGGACTCCCTTGAACAATTAACTGCTTAGAACTGGTTCCCAATTAGCCTGGATATGGAGCTTGTTTATGCGAAAGCTGCTCTCTCGTCTCTCATCTGTCTCTGGCTGACTTTAACTCGCTGTGCTCGGACTTTGCTCCGTGGTTTGTTTGAAAGGCTTTCTAGCAAGCTTTGCGCATGCAATCCGAGGTGCGTGTCGAGGTGAAGTCTGTTGTGACTCGAAAGCAGAGGGAGGAGATGCAGTGACTGTTCTCACAAATTTATCCCCTGTGTAATTAGCATTGCCAAACACCGACATGTTTCAACTGAAATGCCCGTGTACGATCACAGCCCAGCCTTCCTCGTTCACAGAGTGTCAGCAGTTTCTGGGGGCAGCTGAGCTTTAAGCCTGTCCTGCTGCAGGCTCTGGCTCTGGTGCACAGCAGCTCGGTGCCTGGGGCCACCCCGGGGGCACTGCTGACCCCATGTCCCTCCTGCAGGAGGGGGCTGGGGACCTGGTGACTGCCGACGACGCGGGGGCCCTGTGCATCTGGAGCTCTGGAGAGGAGTTCACCTTGCTCAACAAGATCCCAGCCTTGGGGTAAGCCGGAGCAGCGCGGCAGGATCCCCACAGCAAGGTGGTGCCAGACATCCCCAGCCGGACCCTTCCAGGCTCTTGTGTGGGACTGGGAGGGTGCTGGGCTGGGACAGGAGGGGACCCCCGGCCCCAGTGTGCGGGTGTGCAGCCGGGAGGGGAGGAGGTGACGGAGGAGGTGACGCGTGCCCCTGTGCCCAGCTGCACCTGCTCCTCCGTGAAGCTCTGGAACGGGGTCGTCGCTGCTGGCTATGGCAACGGGCAGATTCGGCTGTACGAGGCAGCCACGGGCGTCCTGCGAGCAGAGGTCAACGCTCACGCCCGCTGGATCTACGCCCTGGACCTGGCACCACTGACGGGAAAGGTAAGGGGGAAGCTGCCCGCAGCGGGCACCCGGCCTGCTGGAGCAGGGGCTGCTCAGCACCGTCACGCTGTGCTGCACCCCTCTGGCGTCCTGGTCCCCACGGCCCCTCTGCTGCTTCCCTCCACAGCTGCTCTCGGGGGCTGAGGACTCCTTTGTTCATGTCTGGAAGCTCAGCAGGAACCCAGACACCGACGATGTCGAGGTGAGGCCTGGGATATGGACACCGGCAGGGAACCTGGAGCCGGGGTGGGTCCCTGCGGGGTGTCACTGCCCCAGTGGGGCCGTGGGTCGGTGCTGCGGGGTCACGCAGCCTCCCGCGAGGTGCTGCTGCTGCTGGGGGCTGCGGAGCTGAGCTGCTGGCTGGAAGCCCCCTGAGCCCAGCCGGAGCTGCTGCGCGGTGGCCCAGCGCTGGGCCAGTGCTGGTTGTGCTCAGCTCCCGGTGCCGCTCACGCTGCCTCCTCGTCCTGCTGCAGATCGAGCACTGCCACGCTGAGTGTGTGACTGACACCCAGATCTGCGGCGCCCGTTTCTGCGACCCCGAGGGCTGCTCCTTCGCCGTGACCGGCTACGACCTCAGCGAGATCTTCCGCTACAGCCAGGTGTAGGCTGCCAGCGGCGCCCTCGGGCCCGAGCCAGGCCACCAGGCACCCTCTGGCCCAGCGCTGCGCCCCAGCGGGGTGACAATCAGTGCAGAGGTGGAGCTGGAGGGGGCTCCTGTCACTCCCAAAGCAAACCTGCCCTCAGTGGGGCATGGCCGTGCACGGGGAACATCAGCTCCGAGCTGCTCTGGCTCAGTGGGACCCATCTGCACGGTGCTGTGGGTCCCTGAGCCGAAAGCTGCCCCCCCTGCCCCCTCCTGAGCCCTCCCGGGAGGGCAGGAGGCAGCAGGGCTGATGTGTCTGAGCAGCGGCTGCCTCCACGCAGGCTCTGGTAGCAGCAGCGGTGGGGAGGAGCAGAACCGGCTCCCCTCTTCCCCGCGGCACCTCTGCTTCAAACAGGAGAGGATCCAGGGCGAACCTGCCCTGCACGCTGCTCCGGCCGGGGAGGGCTGCGGGAGCCGCTCCCTGCGGGGGGGCCGCACCCACGGGCGCTGCAGCGTGGGCCGCCCTGCCTCGGGGCAGCGTGTGTGGACGGGCTGGGGCGAGGAGCCTCCGCGCCCTGCCAGCTGCCCCGGGCACGGCCGCATCCCAGCGGGCCCCCGACTGGCAGGCAGCTGTGCGGGGCCGCAGCTGCGCTCCTGGGCTGGAAAAAGCAGAGGCGGCCGCACTGCGCTCGTCCAGGCCAGCTGAGCGCCCCAGGGACAGGCTGCGAGGTCACCCAGCGGAGCCGTGGCGCTGAGAGGAGCCGTGGCGCTGCGTGCCAGCAGGCTGGGCTCCTGCTCCAGCCCCCAGCCTCAGCCCAGCTCCCCGCTGGCTTTGACCCTGCCCCAGACTGGGGGTGCTGGAAGGGGGCACACACCGTGCTGGGGCTCCCCCCACGTTCCCGGTGCTTCCCCCTCTGCGTCCAGGGCAGGGCTCGGCCCTGTCCCAACAGTCGCTGTCCCCCTGGTCCTTGTCCCTGTCCCAGTCCCTCTCTGCTGGCTGCTGTTCCCAGGGCCCTGCGGGGGCAGGGGGGCCCCATGTGCGGGGGGGCCCTGCCCGGGGCAGGCCCTGTCCTCAGCAGGCAGGGAAGGAGCTTCCCGCAGCTCCCGGATCCGGCTCGGCCCCGCAGGAGCTTCCTGCAGCTCCTGGCAGCAGCAGGGTCCGGCCTGGCCCTGGGAAAGGCAGCCCCAGCCCCAGCCCCAGCCCCTGCTGCTGCGCTGGGGGAGAGCCACGCTGTGGGCAGGGGGCCCATTGCCCCCAGCTGCGGGCCACAGCCCCTGGCCCCCATCGTGCCCCTTTCCCAGCCCCGCTGAGCCCAAGCATCGCACCCCGCTGCTGCACCCCCTGCTGCACCCCCTGCTCATGCTGCACCCCCCATGTGCTGCCCCCCTGGCTATGGGTCAGGACTCCGCACCCTGCCCTGTGCCCCCAGCCCCCCAGCCCCCCAGCCCCATACCTCCCCCCCAATAAACGCACCTGAACCGAGCCCCCCGCGTCGCTCCTTGCTGTGGGACCCTGAGCAGGAGCGGGAGCCCCGTCCCGTTACAAAAGGCTTTATTAAAGGTTAAAACTCGGCGCGGCAAAGCGCGGCGCCCCACTCACAGTGGTTGGGAAGGCGAAGGTACAAAGAGCCCTTGAGGCGGGCGCAGGCGCCCGGGAGGTTGTGCTGGGTCGGGGCGAGCGGAGTAGAAAAGTGTACAAAGGGTTGTGCAGCGCAGGGACACCGCGACGGGGACGTCGGCCCCTCCGGGACGTGTCCAAGGCACAGAGATGACCGGGGTGAGCCGGGACGCCCTCGGCGGGCAGGGGCAGCTCCTGTGGCACACGCAGCCCCCGCGGCCCCTCTGCCCTCCCGCCCCGTGCCCCGCTCACAGCTTGGCCCCCACCTCCGCTGAGGCAGAGGAAGGGGGGAAAAAACAGCACCAGAGAGCCCGGCCGGGGAGCCCCAGCCCGGGGAGCCAGCACCCTCCCGCGGGGCCCTGGCAGGGGAGGGGGCAGCAGAGCCCCCAGCCCCACAATACTGCTCGGTCAGAGGTAGCACCAGCGCCGGCTGGGGTGGGGGGGCCCTGCCCGGCTTGGCACGCCGCCGCCCCAGGGAAAGGCACCGCGAGGCGGCGGCGGGGGGGGGAATGGGGCCGTAAACCAGAGCGGCGGCGGCAGCGAGCGCCTGTAAACCAGCCTGGGGACGGGGGTGTAAACAGGCAGCCCCCAGGGCCCGCAGCAGCCGCAGCCCCGGGGCAGGGGGGGGGCGGAGAGGGGAGCCCCCCACCCTGTGCCAGCCGGGGCGCGGCCGTGCCCCTTGCCCCGGGGCGCGTCACGGCCGTGCCCCTTGTGCCCCTCGCTTCAGGAGACGTGGGGCGAGGGGCGCCAGAAGCACCACTTGCTGCGGGTGTGCTGCTTGCGCTGCAGCTGCTCCTCGCGATCCCGCTCCTTCTTGGAGCGCAGGTACAGGTCCTCCTCCTTCAGGTACCACACCGGCGGCCAGCGGTGCCGCTCGAAGTGCGCCTGGTTCTCTGCGGGGACGGCGGCGTGTCACGGCACAGCCGGACCCGGCACCACCGGGGCCATCCCTGCCCGGCCCCACGCAGCCTACCTGGGGACATGAACTTCATCTCCCGGGGGAAGCGGCGGCAGACGCTGTTGTAGTTGGTGCAGATGTAGTGCAGGCACCAGGCGGCCAGCTGCCGGGCGTTGTGGAACTGCAGGCAGGGGATGGGGGGAGCCAGGGCTGGGGATTCACAGCCCGGAGCCCACCCTGGGGCTTCGTGTCCCGGAGCAGCCCCCACCCTGTGCCCCCCACCCTGCGTACCTGCGTCATCTCCAGGTAGATGATCACCTGCTCGTCGATCTCCACCTGCTGCATGAAGGCTCGGAGCAGCTCATCCACGGCGTACTGCTCTGGGGGCAGGGAGGGGGGGCCGTGAGCGCCGGGGGACACGGTGCAGCCATGCGGCGGGGTTACGCCGGGCTCGTCGGGCTCTTACATAAGGGCCCCGCCAATGACACCCCGGGGCCGCATCGATCCCGTCCCCGTGGCTCCGTAATTGTATTGGCAGCTGACGTCAGCGGGGCGCGGGGGGGCTCACCTGTGAGCGCCTGCAGCCGGGGCAGGCAGAGGCGGTTGGTGAGGATGAGGAGCTCCATGGCGTCCAGGTCGGGTGTGGGGGTGAAGACGCCGGTGTAGAGGAAGTCGAGGACGGCGCGCAGGCAGGCGCAGTTGGTGCCTGGCAGGGAGACCTGGAGGGACAGGGGTTGGGGGCCGGTCTCTGGTGGTGGGGTGGGCGCTGCAGCAAGGACGGACCCTGCCCCGCCACCGGCATCGCCTGCCCCACCATGGGGACACCATGGGCACAGTTGGGCCCCGTGTGCCCCGTGCCAGCAGAGCTGCAGCCCCACGACAGCCTCGTGGTGTCCCCCCCCTCGCCATCCCCATGCCCTCACCTCAGCAGCGTAGCTCTCCCGGAAAGCCCCCCGGAACATGGCCATCATCCAGTCGCAGCCGGCAATCAGCAGGGGTTTGTGCGCCGGCACGGTCCCGTCATCCACGCGGAAAACCACATCTGGGGTGGCACAGGGACAGGCTCAGCATGGGGCAGGCACCCCTCGGCCGTCCCCGTCTCACAGGGGGAGGGAGCCCGTGTGATGTCCCCGCAGGGCACCGCCACCCCTCGCCCCCTGTACCTGCGAAGACCCCCTTCCCCAGGCACTCCTTGATGCGGTTGGCACGGCGGACGTGGAAGGCCTTGGTGATCTCCTGGTTCATGAAGCTCTCCTTGTTGAGCACGTTGGCCACCATCATGCGCAGGTCGAAGACCTCCAGCAGCTCGGCGATGGTGGCCACCTGCATCAGGTCCCCGCGGGCCTGGTCCAGCCGCCCGGTGTAGAGGTACTCCAGCACGGCGCGGAAGGGCTCCGCCTGCACCAGCCGGTCCATGCACACCACCGTCATCCGCTTCTCCCGCCCCGCCACCGGGTCCTCCACCAGCTCCCAGCGCATGCTGACAAAGCCACGGCCCCACGCCGACAGGTCGCGGGCACCGGGCACCGCGTTGTCCCCCGCCGCCGGCCGCAGGGCATCGTCGCTCTGCGAGGTCCGCAGCGGGGCGCGCGCCCCCTCGCCCAGCGCCCCCCGCTCCCCATCCAGGCTGCGGGCGCGGGCGGCCGGCTCCTTGGCCGCCCCCCGCGGCCCCTCCAGGGTGAAGAGGTCGTAGAACTTGGAGCAGGAGGTGGCCAGGTAGACGCGGTGGGCGAAGACCTGCTGGCCGCCCTGCAGCTGGAAGACGACGTCGGCGCACAGCGGGGTGCAGAAAAGGGCGGCGGGGCCCCAGCTGCGGCTGGCCGGGGGGTCGGGGATGTGGATGACGGGCGGCGGGGGCTTGGGGGGCAGGAAGGGGGCCTGCAGCAGCGGGCGCTGCATCTTCTTCAGGTGGGACTTCCAGAACTGCAGGTGGCGGCGGGAGATGAGGGCGGCACGGATGGCGTTGTCGAAGACGTCCTTGATGCCGAACTGGGCCACCACGCTGGTCTCGTAGTAGGGCACGCCCAGCTCCTTGGCCACCTCGTGGCCCCGCTCCGGGGGCAGGATGTCCGTGGGCTTGATGGGCCTGGGGGTGCAGAGCGGGGCCATGTCACCGCATGGGGGGTCCCAGACCCCAACCCCAACCCCCCGCCCGCCCACCGGGCGCAGCCTCACTTGGCCAGGGGGCGCCGGGCACGGTTGACGGCCTCCAGGTCGGCGTAGCGCAGGTCCAGCTGGCAGCCCACCAGGATGATGGGGGTCCGCGGGCAGAAGTGCTTGATCTCGGGGTACCACATGGTCTTCACGTGGCGCAGGGAGTTGGGGTTGGCCAGCGAGAAGCAGAGCACGACCACATCCGACCTGCGGCAAGGAGGAGGAAGAGGAAGAGGGGGAGGAAGGGGGTCAGCGCAGCCCTGTCCTGGCACAACCCAGCAGGCCACCACGTGCACCGGCGGCTGCAGGGGGATGCCCACCAACAGCGGCTGGGACAGGGGCAGAGCAGGATGCAGGGGACCCGAGCCCCGTCCCGTGCCCATCGTGGGGCCGGACCCCTGTGGGCAGGGACCCTCAGGGCGGCCGGGAGCAGCCGCGTGTCCCCCAGGCCGGGTTTGTTTTTAGTCCGTGCCTTCCGAGACGTGACCAGGAGCCGTGTTTGGAGCTGGGCCCGTGCCGGGGACCAAGATAGACGCCGTCCTCCCGCCCCCCCCGGGCCCCCGGCCAGCACGGGAGCCGCAGCTCAGCCGGCACCCGCTGCCCCGCGGGGAAGGGGACGGCAGGGTGGTGGCACTGGGTGCGCTCTGGGCACCTCGGGCTGTGCCCCCTCACCCGGGGGTGCCCCCATTCCCACCGGGCGTCCCTGCCCCCCCCACACAGAGGGGAGCTCAGAGCTCACCAAGCCAAGCTGGCGCGCTGCGGCGGGGCGATAAGAGCCTGGACGTGCCAGAGGCCACGGGGAAGGGGTTGTTTACAGCCCAGCCACTTGGCACGGGGGGGGGCATGAGGGGGCGGGGGCTGTCACCCTCTCGGCCACAGCCACGGTCACAGCCACGGCCACGGGGATCTCCCGGTGCCAGGACGGGCTCAGCCGCACGGCACCGGGGCTCAGTGCCTGCTCTTGGCCATGGTCGGGGACCCCCCGGGTCCTGCCCCAGGACCCCAGGGCCGTGCAGCCCCGGGTGTGGCGGGTCCCGTGTGTCCCAAATACCCCCCCGGAGCCCCCCGGTGCTGCCACTGCCTGCCGGGCACCCAGAGCTGCCCCTGGAGCCGGTGCCTGCCCGGTCCCTGGGGTCACGGTGCCCCCGGGGCTGCAACCGGACACCAGAGGGGGGTGGGAGGTGTGTGTGTGGGGGGGCAGACCTCTCCCGGCCCCCCCGCGTCCCACCCGGCCGCGGGTCGGGTCCCGTGGGGGGGGGGGGGTTCCCTCGTGCTCGGCGCCCCCCGCCCACCACCGGGGCTTGGAGCGGGACCGCGCCCCCCCCCACCCCATCCCCACCTGCCGTAGGCGAAGCGCCGGTCCTTGTGGTGGTCCCCGAAGGTGTCCCAGAGCCGCAGCGACACGCTCACCTCGTCCACCACGTCCCGGGAGCGCTCCAGCACCTGCGGGGGCGGCGGTCAGCGGCTGCCCGGGGTGGGTGGGGGCTCCCCGGGGGGGTTCGGGGGGCTCCTCCCCTAACCCCCCCCTGTCCCCCCGGTGCCCCCGCACCTCCTGGCAGACGCGGTACTGGTCGATGGCCCACACGGTGGGCACGTGCGTGGCCAGCAGCTGGTACTGGCTGAGGGTGGCGTTGCAGGCGCGGGCGCAGATCAGCCGGGTCTTGCCCACGGCGTTGTCGCCCACCACCACGCACTTGATGGTCTCGACGTTGGGCCGCTCGTAGTCCACGTCCAGGTCCATGGGGGCCCCGCTCAGCGCCCCCCGCCCATCCCGCGCCGCCGCCGCCGCCGCCCGGGCCCGTTACCCCGCCCGCCCCGCCCCTCCCCGCCCCGCCCCGCCCCGCAGCCAATCAGCGCCCGCCCCGCCGCGCCGAGCCACGCCCCCTCGGCCACGCCCCGCGCCCGCAGCCAATCCGCGCCAGCCACGCCCCGTCAGGCCACGCCCCCTTCGACCCCCTCCCCCCCGCCGCCAATCCGCGCCCGCCCCGCCGCGGCCCCGCCCGCGCGCGGACAAAGGAGCGCCGCCAGGGGGCGCCGCGCCCACGTGACCGGCCCCGCCCCCGCGCTCCTCGCGGCCGGCGGCGTGCGCGGACGAGCCCCCGGTGGGCGGGGCCCTGCTGGAGGGACACGCCCCCTGGTGGGCGGGGCTATGTCTGTAAGCCACGCCCCTCTCCTCGCCACGCCCACCCGCCCAGCGCCGACGGGGGGGACGGCGGAGACACCGGGAGCCGCGGGGGCGCGGAGCGACAGCGGGGCCGTGAGGGGCACCGGCGGTGAAAGGGACAGCAGGGACAGCAGCAGCACCGGTGGCACCAGTGACACCACCGGCACCAGTGGCACCAGTAACACCAGTGGTACCAGCAGCACCAGTGACACCAGTGACACCAGTGACACCAGTGGCACCAGTGGTACCACCGGCACCAGTGTCTCCAGCGACACCAGCAGCATGAATGGCACCAGTGAAACCAGTGACACCAGTGGCACCAGTGGCACCAGCAGCACCAGTAACCCCATTGACACCAGTGACACCAGTGACACCAGCAGCACCGGTGGCACCAGTGGCACCACCGGCACCAGTGGCACCAGTAACACCAGTGGTACCAGCAGCACCAGCAACCCCAGTGACACCAGTGACACCAGTGGCACCAGTGACACCAGCAGCTCCAGTGACACCAGTGACACCAGCAGCACCAGTGGCACCAGTCAGTGGCACCAGTGGCACCAGTGGCAGCACCAGCACCAGTGTCTCCAGCGACTCCAGCAGCATGAATGGCACCAGTGAAACCAGTGACACCAGTGGCACCAGTGGCACCAGTGGCACCAGCAGCACCAGCAGCACCAGCAACCCCAGTGACACCAGTGACACCAGCAGCATCGGTGGCACCAATGGCACCAGTAACACCAGCGGTACCAGCAGCACCAGCAACCCCAGTGACACCAGTGACACCAGTGGCACCAGTGGCACCAGTCAGTGGCACCAGTGGCACCACCGGCACCAGTGTCTCCAGCGACACCAGCAGCATGAATGGCACCAGTGAAACCAGTGACACCAGTGGCACCAGTGGCACCAGCAGCACCAGCAGCACCAGCGGCACCAGCGGCACCAGTGAAACCAGTGGCACCCGTGACACCAGTGGCACCAGTGGCCCAGCACAACCAGCACACGCCTGGCACAGCGGGACACCAGGGACACAGGGGTGCACCAGCATTCACAGTGCCACCAGCAAGCTCCAGTACAAACCAGTGACGCCGTGGGCCTCCAGGCCTGCCTGCTGTCCTGCTGTCCCGCTGTCCCTGCACCCACAGCCCTAATGGAGCCCCTCGGTGCCCGCAGCTCTCCTGCCCCAGCACCTCGGGGTGCCGGTGCTGCACCAGGCCCTGTGGGCACACCACACCCCGGGTCCCCCCCCCGTGCCGGAGCTCTCCCTGTCCCCGGTCACCTCCTGTGGGTCCCTGGGGGCTCGGGGCTGTCCCCCCAGGACTGGGTACCGCTGTGTGCCAGTGGCCCAGGGCATCGGTGGCTGCTGTGGCGGGGGCCCCTTGTTTTGGGGGCGTGAGGGCTGTGGTGTCTGGGTCCCCGTGCCCTTATGGGCTGCAGCTCGGCCCCCCCCGCAGGGGTCCCCAGCGGTGCCCCCGTTGCTCGCATCAGAGAAGGGACCAGGACGGGCCCGGCGGCCGGGGACTGCGGGACCGGGCCCCCGCCCCAGGCCGCCAGCAGCGACAGCCGAGCTGGGGAGAGCTGGGGGGGGGACAGCAGCGATGGGCACCCCCGTGTGCGGGGCTGGGGGGCAGCTCGGGGCGCTGCGGGACACGGGACGGTGCCGGGACACGGGGCGGCGCAGAGACACGGCGCGGGGGGGGGCTCATCCCCGCCCCCCGGGGGGCGCCCCCCCCGCCCGGCCGCAGCTGCCGCTGCCGAATTTTTTCTCTCTCTGGGGCTTTGGGGCTCGGAGGCCGCGGTGACCAAATAAGGGCAGCGGCGCCGGGCGGCCCCGCGCGTGGGGAGGCCGCTCCCGGGGGGGGCCGGGCCCCGGGGGGGCTCCGCGTCACGCGCCGCGTCCGCCCGCACGGGCCCCGCCGCGCCCCCACCCACGTCCCGGCGTGGGACCCCGCGCTGCACCCACGTCCCGGCCCCCCGGGGCGCTCTGCCCTGCACCCGTGTTACGCGTGGGACCCCGCCCTGCGCCCCTGTCACCGCGTGGGACCCTGCCCTGTGCCCACGTCACGCAGCGGGACCCCCGCATCGCCCCCACGCTGCGCTGTGGGCCCCGCGCTCTGCCCACGGTACCGCGTGGCACCCACGAGCCCACGGACCCACGCCCCGCACCCACGCCCTCGGGCTCCCGAACCGGCGGGGGGGACCCGGCACCGCCGCGCCCCCGCGCTCTGCTCCGGGCCGGGCCCCCCCCGGAGGCAGCGACCCCGTCCCGGGCGGCCACCGGGCGGCCCCCGTGCACCGGTAACGGCCCCGCCGCCGGTAGCGGCCCCGCGCCCCCTCCGCCGCCCCCTCCGGGCCGGGCACAGGGCGCGGGGCTGGCGCGGTGCCCGGTCCCGCCCGGTCCCGCCCGGTCCCTCCCCGCCCTCCCGGCGGCGGCGGAGGCGGGGCCGGGCCGGGCGCAGGATCTGTCCGGGCGGCGCGGGGCCGGGCAGGGCGCAGCATGGGGGCCCCGGGGCTGGACCGGCACCGGCTGGCGCTGCTGGCGGCCAAGGAGGACGTGGGCAACCCGCGGGCGGCCACCAACTGGTGAGGGCACCGGGCACCGGGCTACGGACGGGCTTCGGCACCGGGCACGGGCGGGGACCGCGACGTGCGGGGCAGCGGGCGGGGGGGACCCCCGCGGGGCCGGGGAACCAGGACACCGGAGCCTGGACAGGGGGTCCTGGGCCGCACGTGGACCCGCGCACCGGGACCGGACGAGCGTGGCCCCGGGGAACGGGGACGGCGGGACGGTGCCGAGACGGTGCCGCGGCCCCGGGGCTGGGCCCCGCCCGGCGCTGAGCCCGCGGACCCGGGCAGGGAACCGGGCGGCCCGGCCCGGCCCGTCGGGCTGGGAGCGGCTCCGGGGTGCGGGGCCCGCCGGGGCTGAACGGCTCCGGGACGCGCCAGGGCCGGGGGGAGCGGCCGCGCCCCCGCACCGGTGCCAGCCCGGGGGTGCCCGCAGCGCCCCGCCCGGCTCTGCCACCCCCCCCCGGCCCCACCGCGTGGGGACCGCGGCTCCTGCCCGGCCCCGCCCGGGCGTGGGAGCCCCGCGCCCCTCCCGATGCCGGCGGGGCGGCGGCGGAGCCTGTCCCGGGACCGGTGCCGCTCCTCCCGCGGGAGCCGGGCCGGGGGCCGGCGCCCTCCCGACACCGGGCGGCCGCGGTCGGGGCCGGCTGTCGCGGCGGGTCCCCCGGGCTGGCGGCGGCGGCGGGGCTGGGGGGGGTCCGGGGGCGGGGCCGCCCCTTTCCCCGCCGCTTCCCGGTGCCGCGCGGACCCGCGGCCGCTGCCCTCTGCCCCGTGGCCCCGAGCCGCTCCGTGCTCCAGCGCGCCGCTACCGAGCCGTGCCGGGCCGTGCCGCTCCGCACGCGTGCTGCTGGAGCCGGGCCGCGCCGTGTCCCCGGCGCGCAGCGTGCCGCCACATGCGGCTGTAATCGGAGCCGTGCCGAGACAAAGGCGGCGGCGGCTGGCGGGGAATGCCGCCCCGGCGGGGGGCTCCCCGGCCCCCCCGGCCCCAGCCCCGGGCGCACAAGGCCCGGGGGCGCCGGCGGGTCGGGGCTGCCCGGTCGCTGGGGGGGCTCTCGGGCAGAGGGGAGAGGCCGGCTCGGGGCCGGTATCACCGGGGGAGGGGGGGCTCGGGCACGGGCCGGGGGGGTCCGGGCGCTGCGGCGCTTCCCGCGGCCCCATTGTCCCCTGGGCGGATGCTGCCGGCGGCACTTCCACGAATTCAGCCCGGCGGGCAGCGGGGGGGGCACGGCGGGGGTGTGCGATGGGGTGGGCACGGCGCGGGGGCCGGGCACTGGTGGGCGGGGGCCGGCGGGGCCGCGCGGTCCCGGTGCGGCGGGGACCCGGTGCTGGATACCCCCCCCCCCGGCCCTGCCCTGACTCCTCCCGGCGCCACCCCGGGGGGTGCCGCTCCCCCCCCCCGGCTGCTGATCCCTCTGCCCCCCCAGGGCCGTTTTCGCCTACGAGAAGCACCATGACCTCAAGCTGCTGGACTCCGGAGGTACGGAGGGGGGGGGACCGGCCGCTGCCTGCCCCCGCAGAGTGCGCGGGGGTCCCGCAGCGCCCGGCCCCCCCTGACCGCCCCCTCCTTGCAGCCGGGGGCGCGGACGAGCTGGCCGCCAAGTTCTGCGCCAGCAGCGTCATGTACGGGCTGTGCCGCCTCCGGGACCCCAACACCGGCACCCCCCGCATCGTCCTCATCAGCTGGGTGAGTGCGGGCCGGGGGCTCCTGCGGGGGGGCGCTGGGGCTGACCCCGCCGCCTCGCACCTTGCCCCGGGCACGGCCGAGGCTCCCCCCGGCCCCCAGCCCCACGGCTGTGCGGGATCACGGCGGGGGCTCCGGCCGGCGGCGGGCACGGGGCGGGGGGGGCGCGGCGGGGGCCCCAGCCCTGAGCCTCCTGTGCCCGTGCCAGGTCGGGGAGAAGACGCCCGAGTCCCAGCGGCAGGCGTGCGCCGGGCACCTGCCGGCCATCAGAGCCTTCTTCAGGGTGAGTCGGGGCCGGCAGGGGGGCCGGGGGGGGCCCCGACCTGGGGGGGCTCCCCCCGCCCCTCCTCCCGCCCCCCAACCCCGGGGCAGCCCCGACCTTTGCTTGCTGCGCTCAGTGCATTCCTGGCGCTGCTGACTCAGGCGCCGCCGTTCCCAGTTCCCAGCCTTGGCCGCCGACCCGGGGCTGTGGCTGGGCTCCCTGCCCCGGCCGGATCCTGCCCGGCCCCGCAGCAGCGGGGAGGCTGCCCCGGCCCGCCCGGCGGGACGGCCCCCGCGCCCCGAGCCGTCGGGGAATGGCGCCGGGATCCCCCGGGGAGCGCTCGGGGCCCGTCCCGGGGGGAGCGCGGGGGGGGGGCTGTGGCCGGCTCCTGGGCACCCCCGCGGGTGCTCGGGGCTGACTCCGTCCCGGTGTGGCGGCAGGAGGCCAGCGTGGTGCTGAGCGCCCGGCGCGCCGAGGAGGTGACCCAGGAGGGGCTGAGCCGCGCTCTGGCCCAGCTGGCCCCCGCCGCGGCCCCCCCGGCCAGGAGGGCCCCCCCGGCCGACACCGAGGAGCTGGTGGTGAGCGGGGCCGCCGGGGACGGGGACGGGGACCGGGACCAGCGGGCGAGGGCGAGGGCGCCCCCCGGTGCTCGCCGCCGCGGGGCCGCCCTGAGTCCCGGCGGGTCCCGCAGGGCACCAACTACCGCAAGACGAACCCGGCGCTGGAGATCCGCCGGACGCAGCGGGACTCCTTCTGGGCGCAGGCCGAGGTGAGGGCCGGGGCGCCCCGCGCGGCCGCCGCTCCCGGGGGGCCGGGGCTCGGCCCCGGTGCCCATCCCGGGGGGTCCCGGCCCCGCTGAGCCCGGTGCCGCCCGGCGCAGCGCGAAGAGGAGCAGCGCAAGGAGGAGGAGCGGCGGCGGCTGCTGGAGGAGCGGCGGCGCTGGGAACGGGAGCGGCATGGAGGAGGAGAGGCGCGAGGCGGCCGAGCGCGAGCAGCGCTTCAGGGAGAAGGAGCGGCTGATCGAGGAGCACCGGTGAGCGCCGCACCCCCGGGGGCACGCAGCTCCCCCCGCGGCCCCGCACCGGGACCCGTGCTCCCCGCGGTCCCCGAGCCCCGGCGGCCGCCCCGGTGCCGGCCCTGAGGGTCCCCGTCCCGGCAGGAAGGAGCAGGCGCGGCTGGAGGCGGAGGAGCGGAGGAAGGAGAAAGCCCGCTGGGTGAGCGGGGAACGGGCACGGGGGGACGGGGCACGGGGGAACGGGGCACGGCGGGACGGGCACGGGGACAGGGAGACGGGGCACGGGGGCACGGGGTGGGCATGGGGTTGCCGCGTCCCAGCCGGCTCACCGCGGTCCCATCCCGTTCCCGTTCCCGGTCCTGTTCCCTGTCCCTGTCCCTGTCCCGGTCCCGGTCCCGGTCCCGGTCCCGGTCCCGGTCCCGGTCCCGCAGGAGCAGCAGCAGCGGGAGCACGAGGAGGCGATGCGGGAGCGCTCCCGGCGCTCCGAGTCCATCGAGAAGGCGGCCGTGAGTGCGGGGGGGGGCCGGGGGAAACGGGACCACCGGGGGGGCTCCGGGGCTCCGGGGGCCGCCGCTGACGCCCGTCCCGTCCCGGTGCTGCAGGAGGCGGCCGTGCTGGTGTCCCAGCGCCCGCAGAACCCCCGGGATTTCTTCCGGCAGCGGGAGCGCGCGGGGTCCACCTCCGGGGCTCCGCTGCCCGCCGGCCCCGGGGGCGCCCGGCCCGGTAGGTGCGGGGGGGGGGTGGGACGGGGCGGGTTGGGGGGGTCGGGCCGGGGGCTGGCCGCTGACCTGCGCTCCCCCAGGAGCCCGGCGGCCGTTCCTGCGGTACCAGCGCAGCCTGACCGAGTCAGCCTTCATCTTCCGCCGGCCGGAGCCCCCGCCCTCACCCTCGCCCCTCGACCCCGGGGCTTTCAGGGCGGCGCCCCCCACCAGCCCACGCCGCCCCCCGCCGCCGCTCCCCGCCAGCCCCGCGGGGACGGGGCCCCCCCCTCGCTGTGCCGCCGCGGGGGCTCTCAGCCCAGCCGGGGCAGGGCCCCCCCCGACCCTGCCGGGGTCCCCGCCCCCCGCCAGCCCCCCCGGGTCGGGGCCCCCCGACGGCACCCGTGGGGCAGAGCCCGAGCCCCCCCGCGGCACTCCCGGGCTGGGCTCCCCCAGCAGCCCCGGCGGGGGGCTGCTGCTCCCGAGCCCTCCCTGGCAGCCCCCCCCGGGGCCGGCTGCGCTGTCCCCCACCGGCAGCGCGGGGGCTGAGGCTCTGCCTCTGCCCAGCCCCCCCAGCACCCCCTTGGATGAGGAGGGGCCCCCCCCGGGCACCCCTCCCCTCCCCAGCCCCCCGGCTTGGGGGTCTCCAGGGCTGCCGGTGGGGCCGGGCGAGGGGGCCCCGAGCCCCCGGGGGGGGTCTCCTCCCCCTGGGTTGGTGCCTGCCCCGGTGCCCCCGCGTGGCCCCAGCCCCCCCAGCCCGCTGCAGGATCCGGCCCTCCCCAGCCTGGCAGCCCAGGAGCCACAGCAAGGTGGGTGCCCACAGCCCCCTGCCCGCTGCGTGGGGCTGGGGTGGGGGTCCTGCACGCTGCGCCCCCCAGCCCCAGCACCTGGGCTGGTGGGGGGGGGCTCAGCCGTGCCCACATCCCCCCAGGGACCATCAGGGAACCCGAGCAGGAGCCAGCCCGGAGCGACTCGGGGCACAACGGCATCGGGGACCTCGGGCACGGGGGGTGGCCAGCCCCCTGGGAGCAGGACCCCCCGGTGCAGGTAGGGCTGGGGGGGCTGGGGGCAGGTGGTGGTGGCATAGGTGGGAAGGGGGCACCTGCGGCAGGTGGGGGGCAGCGGGGGGCTGGGAGTGGATATTTGGGGGCTGGGAGGGGACAGGCAGGGGGAGCAGGAATGGGACAGGGGAGGGGACATGGCAGGGGCTGGGGGGGGGGCACGACGGGGCTGGGGGCAAGGGGCAGGACCAGGCAGGGGGGGCCCTGAGAGTATGGGACCCCCGGGGCCCTCTCGTGCAGGGGGATGAGCCCAGCGACACCATCCTGCCGGAGCCGCTGCACAAAGCCAAGCCAGGTACCGCTGCGCCCCCCCGGCCCCCCCCGTGTGTCCCGAGCCCCCTGGCCGGGCTCAGCCCTCACCCCCTCTCCCCCCCCAGGCTTCGCCCTGCTGCTGGCCCGCGATGCCCCCCACCAGCAGCTGCCTGCCGGCAGCAGCCCCCCAGCTGAGGACGAGGACCTCTCCCCCCATGCTGTGTAGTGGGGGGGACAGCAGCACGCCCCCCCCCCCCAGCACCACCTACTGTGCTCCCCAGCACCCCCCCAGCCAGGGCTGCCCCCAGCCCCCCATGCATTGGCTGCCCCACACCTCGCCCCACTGCCCCACGCTTGGTGTGGTGCCTGCAGCCCCCCAGCCCCCCCCCAGCACCACCTCTTGCACTGGGGCCGCTGGCCCCCTTCCCCCCCCACCCCCCCATACAGCAGCTTTGGGAAGCAGCCACACACCCACAGCCCTGACCCACCTGTGCAGCACAGGGCTGGGGGGGGACAGGGGTCCCCAGCTTGGGGGGCACAGGGCAGGCAGCAGGACCCTGCCCCCCCGCGACCCCCAGCCCCCCCAGTGAGACGCAGTGGCTGTTAAATAAATTTTAATGCACATGAATGAGGTGGTGGTGTCAGCTGGTCCCCACGGGGTGCAGCGGGGCCAGGGTTAGGAACGGTGAGGAAAGCAGAGTGGGGGGGCTCTGGCCCCCTGGGCTGGGCCCACAGCTGCTCATGGTGGGGTGAGCCCCGAGCACCCCTCGGAGGGGGGCAGCCCCCAATGCCCCCTGCAGTGGTGGCATTGGCCCCAAGTGCCCCCCCCATCCCCCAGCACAGGGGCACCGTAAATTCCAGTTTCTCCCCAGGGAAAGAAGCTCTGAGCCCCCTGCAGGGCCTGGGACCCCTGGGACCCCCCCCCACCGCCTCCCAGGACAGGTCCCCTGTGGTGTCAGCCCCCACTGGAGGGGGGACAGGGCCCCCTGCCCCTGAGCCTCCCGTAGGTCCCGGGCTCAGACCTGGGACTGGAGGTACCCCGGGGGGGCCGGCAGGCTGGGGGGGGGAGGCACACGCTCCGTGTCCGGGCTGCTGCTGCCGGGGCTGGAGGAGCTGGAGCTGGGCGAGGGGCGAGGGGAGGGGGCGCGCCGGGCCCCCCGCCCCTTCAGGGTGCTGAGCTTGGCAGTCGAGCGAGAGCGTGCGGGGGCGGGCACGGGGGCCGGGGCTGACCCCGCTGGGGGTGGTGGCGCACAGGGGGGGCCCTCGAAGAGGGAGAGCCAGGGGGGGCAGCCCAGCCCCGGCCCCCCCTCCAGCCCTGCCGCCCGCCGTGTCAGGATGTCCGTCACTGCCTCGATGTCAGTCGGCCGGCTCAATAGCTGCGGGGAAGAGCAGGGGTCAGCGGGGAGACGGCCACCTGCAATCCCCCACCCCAAGGAGCGCCGGGACGTGCCCCATGGCCTGCGATGTGCCCTATGGCTACAAGCGTGCCCCACGGCTGGGATGGTCCCCATGGCTAGGACATGCCCACAGCTGGGACATGCCCCAAAGCTGGGATGTGCACGGGAGCCGGGACGTGCACCGGAACCAGGACATGCACCGGAGCTGGAATGTGCCCCAGAGCTGGGACAACTGGGATGTGCCCTGCAGCCTGGGTGGCCAGGACAGCCAGGATGCGCCCTGTGGCCAGGGCAGCTGGGATGTGCCCTGCGGCCGGTGCTGCTGTGACACCTCCGGCAGGCAGAGGCAGCCGTGCCGTGCCCCGTGGGCAGGGTGGCCGTGCCGTGCCCCGTGGCTGTGCCCCGTGGAGCTGTGCCGCGCCGCGCAGCGGGTGCCGCTGGCCCAGCCTGCCGGCCCCGTACGTCACCTGTCGCTGTAATAGGAGGAGAGCAGGGCGCGGATCTCCGCCGAGACGGCGTTATCCTGCAGCAGGAGCCCTTCGCAGGCCGAGGGCGGCACGGCAGGGCCGGGCAGGGCTGCACCGTGGGAGGGCACGGCCAGGGGCAGAGAGAGGCAGAGGACAGCAGAGAGAAGGCAGGAGGTTAGGGAGGCGCAGGTGGCAGGAGAGGCTGGTTAGCGGAGAAGAGGAAGGTGAGGAGGAAGATGAGGAAGATGAAGAGGAAGGCGAGAAGGACGATGAAGAGGAAGATGAAGAGGAAGGTGAGGAGGCCGATGAGGAGGACGATGAGGAGGCCACGCGCTGGCCGTGCTCACCCATCTCGTGGTACAGCGAGCCCTGCCGGGGCAGGGGGGCAGGCGGCCGGCGCGGCGGCGGCACCTCGATGCGCATCAGCTCGTCACAGCACTGCTTCCACTGGCCTGCGGGGAGCAGAGGGGCTGGACTCAGTGCGCCATGGGGCAGGGGTCCTGGTCCCCATCCCCGTCCCCATCCCCGCACGCACTCATGTCGTAGAAGTGCTGCCAGAAGGCCTCCATCCAGCGCTGCGTCTCGGCACGGCTCTCGGCCAGCAGCGTGTGGGTCACCTCCTCGGCCCCGTAGCGGTTGGTGACAGACATGCTGTGCAGCTTCCCGCGCGCCTCCTGCTCCGTGGCGCGGATCCGGGTCTCCTGCGGGGCATGCCGTGGTCAGCCCACGCCCCCACGCCCCCCAACCCCCCGGCCCGGCCCCTACCTTGTTGATGGCGATGGTGAGCGCCGGCTCCACGCCAGCCTCAGCCTCCTGCGGGCGCCGGTAGCAGAGGAGGTTGGTGCCGCGCAGGACGCAGAACAGCCGAGCCCAGCCCTGCGGCTCCCCCGGTGCCTGCTGCCGTGGGACAGGGCTGATGAGTGCACACAGCCCGGCCCCGGGGGTGGGAGCAGCCCCCTCCCCAGCACAGGGATCCCCGCTCCCCATCCCCACCATGGTCCATAGCCTAACAGCAGGGATGGCTGACACCAGGCTGGTGCTGCCTGTCCCCTACCCACCCTGCCCCAACACAGCCTGTCCCTGCTCCACCCTGTCCCCATCCTGTCCCCATCCCGTCACCATCCTGTCCCCGTCCCCGTCCCCATCCCGTGCTCACCTGCACCTTGAGGAAGCCGCACATCATCTGGGTGGCCATGCAGCGGGGCTGTGCAGCCAGGCGGCAGCACATGCTGCCATACAGCGGCAGCCAGAAGGAGCTCTCCTCTGGGGGGGGGGCAGAGCACTCACAGGGGGGCCCTAGGGCAGGGCCCCCCTGGTCCCCCCCACCTGGCCCCAGCTCTCCCCAGAGCTGCCCATGTCCTGGTGCTGCCCCCCCACCTTGCCAGGCCCCCAGCCCCACCAACCCCCTCTCCCCTCCCATCCAGCCGGGACCCCGCAGTTTCTTCTCCCCTGCCCCATCACACCCCAGCCCCCCCTGCCCGCCCCCAGGCCCCCAGCCCCAGCCCTGCCCGGGGAGCCCTCACGGCGCTGCGCTCACCATTGCAGGCGATGGCGAGGTCGTGGGTGCGGAAACCGTCCTGCACCTCGGCCAGGGACAGCACTGCGTGCGCCAGCAGGTGATACTTGGGGCCCCTGGGGGAGCCCAGAGTGAGGGGCAAGCAGGTGGGGAGGGGGGATCACAGGGGGGGGGGTCAGGTACTCACGGCACACTGGGGGCCGGCAGCAACAGGGGGCCGCTGCCACCGTTAGCACCGGGGCTGCCGGGACCCCCGTCCATGGCGCTGCGCAGCCGGCGCCCCGAGGAGCGGCCCAGGGAGCTGCTGAGTTTGCTGGCCAGCTTCTTGGGCGCGCTGCCCGGCGCCTCCTCCTCCAGCCCCGCGCTGTACAGCTCCACCTTCAGCTCGAAGTCCGGCCCGGCCTCCGTGCTGGGGGCACGGCTCAGCGGGCGCACGCAGCCCCCGGCCCTGGCCCCCCCCTGCTACCGGGGGGGGGCACTTCCAGGGTGCCCCCGGGGACGTGGGGATGCAGGGACGCGAGGACACGGAGGTGCGGGGAAGCGGGGACGCGGGGACAGGCGGGGATTTGCGGGTTGCGGGGACGCGGGGGGATGCGGGGACATGCGGGGACGCGGGGACCTGCCCGGCGCGGCGCGCACAAGAGGACGGCGTTCTCGAAGCAGATGTCGGTGAGGGTCCGGTCCACCAGCACCATCTCGGTGTCGTAGATCTCCACCCCGATCTGGAGGAGGCAGAAGACGGCGCAGCGGTGCAGCTCTGCGCCGGGGGCGGGGGTCAGGCCAGCGTGGGGCTGGGGGCCGCGCTGCCACCCCCCCCACTCACCTCCCTTGTTCCTGAAGTACTCCGTGTCCTTCCACATCAGCGGGATGCGCAGGTCTGGGGGAGTGGGAGGGGTGGTGGTGAGACCCCCGGGGCCCTGTCCTCACCCCAGGGGCCGGTGCAGGACCCCCAGCAGCCCCCCCTGGCCCCGCAGGGTTTTTGGGGACCCCATACCTGAGATGCAGACCCTGCCCCGGCAGGGCAGGCGGTCATCCGTGGGGCCAGCGTCCGAGGGGCTGCGGGAGGAAGCGCAGAGCCGTGACCGCTGCCCGGGGGCCCCCACCTCCCACCCACCCCCTGCCGCGGGGTCCTCACCGCCTGGCCACGCGCTGCATCACCTGCACCTCCTTCATGCGCTGCAGCTCCGACATGTAGGCCAGGATGCGGCTGTTGCACACCAGGAGGCTCTTGGTGGCTTCCAGCGCCTGCTCCCGCTGCGTGCAGGCGGCCAGCAGCTTGCAGGCCCCCTCCCGCATCCGGATCTCATGGTCAATCTTCTTCTGGATGTCCGTGTCCTGCGGGATGGGCGGTGTGAGAGCGCAGGACCCGGTGGGGGGGGTCCCGGGTTCTGCCCTCCCCCACCGCTGCAGACCCCCACAGGTTCCCGGGAAGGGGCAGCCACATTCACAGGGAGGGGACGGTGGCCCCCATGTGGCCCCACTCCCCCCCAGCACGGCCAGTGCCCGGGGCTGACCCTCCCGCCCCGAGCTGTGCTCAGCACACACGTCCCCTGACCCCCCCGGGCACAGAGCCACCATCCCGGCCGGGCCCCTGGGGAGCCACGTGCCCCACGGACACGTCGCATGCCCCACGGAGCGCCGTGCGCCCTGCGGATACAGCATGAACCCTGCGGGAGAGCCAAAAACCCCACAAGCACTTCACGAACCCCACAGGAATGCCACACGCCCCACGGATATGTCATCTGCCCCACGGCTGTTTCACACCCCACGGACAGGTCACAGAGTGCACAGTTGCACCTCGTGCCCCACAGCAGTGCCACACACCCCACGGGTCCATCGTGCGTCCCACAGACGAGCCACGTGCCCCACAGACACCCCACATGGCAGACGGATACCCACAGCTCCATCATGCACCCTACAGAGGTGCCACGTGCCCCACAGCTCCATCACGCACCCCACAGACGTGCCATGCACCCCACAGCTTCACCGTGCCTCCCAGGGGAGCTCCGTGCCCCACATGCTGCCCCGCACCCCACGGAGGGGTGACGCACCCCACAGCTGCCTAACGTGCCGCACGGAGGGGCCGCGCACCCCACGGACACCCCAGCCCCCCCAGCACTGCCCCCCCAGACCCTCCCCCTGAGACCAGAGCTGCACCAGAGCCACATCAGAAGGTGGCAAAGCCCCCCCCAGCCCCAGCCCCCCACCCCGGGGCCCGCAGCCGCAGGGGGAGGGGGGCACCCCCCAGCCGCACGGGCGGGGGATGCCAGACCCCGGCGCGGGGCTGCCCCCTCCCGCAGGACCCCCCCGGAGCCCCCCTGCCGCAATCCGCAGCCTCGGCGCTGCGCATCCCCCCCCGCCCCCCCCACCGGCTCGGCCCCCGCCTCACGTTGCCGGTGCCGCGGCGATCCATGCCGGCCCAGGGCATCCCCCTGCCGCCCCCCGTGCCCCAGCCCCCTGCCCCCGGCCCCCGGCCCCCGGCAGCGGGGCCCGGCGGAGCTGCGGGCGGGCGCGGGGCCGGGGCTGGCGGAGCCGCAGCGCCGGAGCGGTGACATCACCGGCAGCTATAAATAGCCACCGGAGCCGCGGCGGGGGGCGCGGGCGGCTGCAGCCCCCCCCCGGGACCCCCCCCCGTAAGCCCCACGCTCCCCCCGCAGCACTCACCCTCCCTGCGCCCGGCGGCCCCACTCGCCATAGGGCGCCCGCCCCACGGCGGGGAGCTTTTGGGGGCGCTGCAGGGCGAGGGGGGGGGGGCGACCGACGTGGGACCCCCCCCCACATACACCGAGCGCTGCAGCGCGCCCGGGCCGGGCGGGCAGAGGGGGCTGCGGGGGGATTCGCTCCGGGCACCGCGGGCTCCGTGCGCCCCACCGGGGGGACGCGGGGGGGACCCCCGCGCGGCAGGGCAGGGCCCCGGGCTGCGGGACCGGCCCGTTACCGGAGCCCCCCCCTCGTGGCCCCCGCGCCCCGTCCCGGCCTCGCCGCGTGGCATCGCCCCGGGGGAGCCGCCGCGGGGCTGTGCGGCCGCGAGCCTCGGTCCCGGCGCCGCGGGGATCCGGTACCGGGGGGCCGCTACCGAGGGGGCGGGGGGCGCGACCCCCCCCCCCCACCCCCCCGTACCTCGAGGCTGAGGGCGATCTGGCGGATGTAGAGCATGTTGAGGTCCTCCAGGATCCGCAGCTTGTCCTGCAGCGGGGCGCAGCCGTCCCGCCCGGCCACCTCCATCGGCCCCGCCGCGGCCCCTCGGGGAGCCGCCGACACCGGGCGCGGGGATCCCGCATCCGCCCCGGCCCCCGGCCCGCGGCCCCCGCCGCGTCCAGCGCCGTGAGCGGCCTCCCCCGCCCGGCCCGGCCCGGCCCGGCTGCGGAGAGAAAGCGCCTTTCATCGCCCGGCGAACAAGCGGCCTCTGTGCCGGGAAAGGGCAGCGCGGGCGGCGGGGGGCACGGGGGGGACGGGGGGACCGGGAGGGGCGAGGGGAGGGGGGGGGGGGGGCAGCGGCCCCGAATCCCGCACGCGGGGACTGAGCGGGGCGCGGGGGGACCGGGCACCGGGCACCGGGCACCGGGGGGGGGGGGGTCGAGGGACGGGGGTGAACGGGGTGCGGGGGGCGCCGGGACGTGGCGGGAGTTGCGGGGTCGGGGTCCCGGGTGCGTGGCGGGGACGTGGCCCCGGTGCGCCCCGCGCCGCCCCCCCGCCGCCCCCTGCCGGCCCCGGTGTGCGCTGCAGCGGGGCCGCCCCGCCGGTACCTGCCGCCGATCCCGGACCGCTGCTCCGGCGCCGCGCGGCGCTCACAGGAAGGCGGCGGCCGCCCGCCCCCGGCCCGCCCTCCCCCGGCATTCCTCCGGCGGCTCCGGTTACAGGGGCCGCCCCCGGCCCGGCCCCCCGCCCGCGGCACCGGCGGCACCGGCACCCCGGGACCCGGGGGCGCCCCCTGGCGGCGGGTCCTTCCGTCCCCCCCCCCCCTCCCCGGTGTACCGGGACCCCGCCGCTTCGACTGCAGCCGGTGCGGGGCTACCGGGACCCCCTCCCCATAAAACACCCCGGGGCTCGGGGGCTCGGGAGAGCCGGGACCCCCCCGTCTGTGCCCGGGGCTCGCAACCCCGGCGGCCGCAGCCCCCCCGCTGCACGCGGGCAGACACCGAGCCGCGGGGCTCGGCACGGCCCCGCCGCCGCCCCGGGCACGACGCGGCCCCGCAGCCGGCGGGGGGGGGCGCGGGGCCGTGGGAGCCGCCGGGGGCAACGGCCCCTCCCGTGCCGCGGGGCCGGTTCCCGCTCCGCCCGGCCGGGCTCGCTGGGCCGGCAGCGCCCGGTCCCACCGGCGGGACGGGACGGGACGGGACGGGACGGGACGGGACGGGAGCGGCCGCCGCCGCCTTCGCCCTTCCCAGGCGGTTGCGCGGCCCCGGCCGTTCCCACGGCCCCGGGAGCCTCGTGGGACCCCGCGGCACGGGAGGTCCCGGCGCGCCCACGCGGACACGTGGGGACACGCGCGGGGCTCCCGCCCGTGTCGCGGTGCACGGGGGGCTCCGGGGCGGGCTCCGGGGGGTTCCGGGGCGGCCGCGCGGGTCCCGGCGGCGGGGCCGGGCCCTACCTGCGGGGCGGCACCGAGCAGGCTGAGGCGGCAGCGGCCCCGTCGGATCTCCATCTCCAGCGCCGAGCCGCGGGCCACGGTCACCCGGCTGCGGTGGTTGCGGCAGAACATCGCGGCGGCGGGGCCGGGACCGGGGCCGGGACCGGGACCGGGGCCGGTACCGGGGGCTGGGGTTGGGGCCGCTCCGGGACCCGCGGGAACTTCCCCGAGCTCCAAAGTCGCGCAAACCCCTCCCCGGGGCCGGCGGCACCTGGCGGCGGGGGCGGGCGGCGCCGCACCGGGGCTGCACCGACACGCACCGGGCTGCACCGGGGCTGCACCGACACGCACCGGGCTGCACCGGGCTGCACCGGGCACGCACTGAGAGGCACCGGGCCCCCCCGGAGCGGGGCCGGGGCCGTGGCCGGGGCCGGTACCGGGCGTCCCCTGGCACGGGCGGGGCGGGCGCGGTGCCCCCAGCCGCGCGTGGCACGGGGCGGACAAAGCCCGAGTCAGGGCGGGCAGCTGCGGCCGGGGGGGGGGGGTGCGGGGGGGCCGCGCGTGCCCGTGCCCGTGCCGGGGGGGCGTGCAGGTGGCCTGGGCGCGTGCCCGGGGCTGCGCACACGCGCGTGGCCGCCGCCGTGCCCCACGCGTGGGGCTCCGCGGGACCCCCGGCCGCGGGCGCTGACCCCGGACGGCCGCGGAGCGCCCCGGTACCGGCGGGCCCGGCCCCTCCCCTGCCCCCCCCGCCCCGCCCCCCAGCCCCGGGCCCCCCCCGCGCCGTGGCCGGGCCGAGGCGGGGCAGGAACGGGCCCGGCCGCAGGGCGCGCGGCAGCGGTTCCCACCCGGGCAGTGGAGCCCGGCGGACTCTGCCCGCTTCAAAGATGGCGGCGGCGGCGCCCCCCCGCCCTGCTGAGGCTGCGCGCGGTGCCCCGCGGCGGGCGGAAGCGGGTCCGGCCGGAATCGGTTCCCCCACGGCGCGGGTTTGGGCTTCGGGGCCAGCACCGCCACCGGGCGCGGGCGGCTCGGCCGGATGAGCAAGGCGTGGCGGCGGGGCAGGGCCGAGGGCGGCGAGCACGGTGAGACCCCGCGCGGCCGGGGCGGGCCGGGGCCGGGCGCTCCCCGGCGGTCCCCGAGGGCCGGGCCCGGTGCCCCTGGCTCGGCCGGCGGCCGGGCCCCAGCCCCGGCGGCCCCGGTGTCGGCCCCGCCGGGCGGTCCCGTTCTCCCGTGGCGGGGTCCCGCGGCCGGGGCTCCGGGCGGGGCTGACGGCGGTGCCCCGCAGGCGAGGAGGACGATGGCGGCGGGCACGGCTCGCACAAGAAGAAGCACAAGAAGCACAAGAAGAAGCACAAGAAGAAACACCACCACGAGCCCGGGCCGCCCGCGCTGGAGCCCGCGGAGCCTGGAGCCGCCCTGCGGAAGCCGCAGCTCAAGCTCAAGATCAAGCTCGGGGGGCAGATCCTGGGCACCAAGAGGTGAGCGTGCGGCCGCTGCGCCCCCAGACCCTGCCTGGTACAGGGGCCCGCCTGGCCCCAGCCCCCCCCCGCGTCCCACTGCCCCAGCGCCCCCAGCCCCGCAGCCCCGGTGCCCGCCCCCACCCCCCAGAGCCCTGTCCCAGCCTCAGGGGCTGCCGCGCTCTCTCCGCAGCGTGCCGACCTTCACGGTGGTCCCCGAGGCGCAGCGCTCCCCCTCCCCGCTGATGGTGGTGGATGAGGAGGACGAGCCCACAGAGGGGGTGCCCATCGAGCAGTACCGGGCCTGGCTGGGTGAGTGCTGGGGCTCAGCCAGCCCCGGGATGCTGCCACCGCTGTGGGTGCAGCACGGGGAAACGTTGGGGCTGGAGGTTCTCTGAGGGAGTGTTGGGCTGTAGGGGTAGGTGGAGGGGCTGGAGCAAGAGGGGGGGCCCTGTGGGGATGTTCCAGTTCCCTCCTCCAGGATTTAAGCAGGTTGCGAGTGTTCAGTGCCTCGCTGAGGGGGGCAGAGATGGTTCCTGCATCATGGGGAGAGTGTGATGCAGTTTGGGCACGGCATCACCCCAGGATGGAGCAGACACAGCAGCTGTGCTCCCCAGTGACCGTTCTGTCCCTTGCTGCCCTGGCCCAGATGAGGACAGCAACCTGGACCCCTCACCCCTGCCGGACCTGGACTCCGAGAGTTGCTTCCCTGCCCGTGAGGAGGAGGAGGAGGAAGAAGAGCGCTGGCTCGATGCCCTGGAGAAGGGTGAGCTGGACGACAACGGGGAGCTCAAGAAGGAGGTGGATGAGTCCCTGCTGACAGCACGACAGGTGAGGGTGGCAGGATGGAGCAATGGGGCTGCGAGGGGGGTGGTGAGGACTGCCCTGGGGCCATCGTGTGGAGCCCCCAGCCGGGGGCATCCTGCCCCGTTTGGGTGCTGCCCCAGAGGCGGCTGGCTCTGGTGAGATGAGGAGCGTGGGGACCCCAGAGCTGGCTGGGAATCAGGGCAGGAGCCTCCGTGCCCTCAGAGGGATGGGGATGGGGGGCCCTGGTCGGGGTGCCCCCACCTGCCTCCAGCCTGATGGCGCCCCCGTGGCCCCCGCAGAAAGCCCTCCTGCACAAGCAGCAGAGCCAGCCGCTGCTGGAGCTGCCCATGGGCTACAAGACGAAGGAGATGACGGAGGAGATGCTGGTGAAGCGGGAGGAGCGGGCCCGCAAGCGGCGCCTGCAGGCGGCCAAGAAGGCAGAGGAGAACAAGAACCAGACCATCGAGCGCCTCACCAAGACCAACAAGGCCAAGGTGAAGACGCTGCGGGAGCGCCGGGCCAAGCAGGCGCCGTGCCCCGTGGTGCACTACTGCAACGCCGCCGACCGCATCACCGTGTCCTTCCCGGCCGGCATGGCGCTGCCGCTGCTGCCCGCGCCCGCCCCCGCCGTGCCGCCGCCCGCGCTGTGCGGGGTCAGCGGCTGCTCCAACCACAAGCGCTACTCCTGCTCCCGCACCGGGCTGCCCCTCTGCAGCCTGGCCTGCTACAAGAAGAACCTGCGGCTGCAGGAGGCCGCGGCCTAGCGCCGGGACCACGGGACTGGGGCACGGGACGGGACCGGGGCCACGGGATGGGGCTGGCGGCACCGCTGGGGCCGGGGCTGGGACCGGGGCTGGGACCGGGGGGTCTCTGGGGGGTCTCCCGGTGGGCCCCGTGCCCGGGCCGTGGGGGGGGCCCAGCCCCGGCCCCCCGGTCCCCGGCCCCGCCCCTCACCGGGAAAGGGGGCGGGGCCGGAGGGTGGGGTTATGGGGGGGCGGGCACCTGCGGGCGGGCCCTATTGGCTGGAAGCGCTGTCTGTCAAAGAACAACGCCGCTGGTTGGTCGGCCTATCCGCCAATCTTTCGTCCGAGTAGTGGTTTCGCGTCTGTTTAGCTGCTGTCCGCTGAGGGTCCGCCTCTGGGGCGGGGTCGAGCTCGCCATTGGTGGCGGATGGCCTGTCCATCATGCGCTGCTACGGAGGACGAGGACTCCCATTGGGCAGCAGCCGACGTCCGTCGTGGCCTGGGGAGGTGGTGCTCGGCCTCCGATTGGCTGCCTCCGCCGCCACTCCCCGCGGGGGCGGGGCTCGGTCCCTTTGTCTCTGTTGTTGGGCGTGAGGAGCGGGCAGACGGCACCCGATTGGCTGGGGCAGGGCGGCGGCGGCGGCGCCGATTGGCCGGCGGCGGCGAGGCGGCGCCCGATTGGCCGCGGCCACCGCGGGGGGGGCGGGACCTCGGGCCCGGGAGCGATGGCGGCGGCGGCGGCTGCGGCCCGGGCGGCGGCGGCGGCCCCGGCGGCCGCCATGGGGGCGGCGGCGGCGGCGGGGGGACAGCGGCTGCTGCTGCGGGCGGCGGGGGCCGGGGCGGCCGAGCGGGAGGAGCCGGCGCGGGGCCGCGGCGGGCTGTAGGCGGCGCCATGGAGCGGCCCGGGAGCGGCGGCGCCGAGGGGGCCTGGGCCGCGCTGCTGGGCCGGCAGCACCAGCAGGTACCGGCGGCACCGGCACCGGCACCGGCGGGGCGGCAGCGGCCGGGCCCGGCCCGTTCAGCTCCGTCCTTTCCCGTCCCGTCCCGTTCCGTTCCGACCGGGCCCGTCCTGGCCTGTCCGGTCCCGTCCCGTCCGGTTCCGTTCAGTTCCGTCCCTGCCCGGCCCCGTCCGGTCCCGTCCTTTCCCTTCCCGTCCCGTCCGGCCCCGTCCGGTCGCGTCCCATCCTGTCTTCCCCGGTTCCGTCCCACCCGGTCCCGTCCCGTCCCGTTCCGTTCCTGACCGGTCCTGTCCTGGCCTGTCCGGTCCTGTCCTGCCCGGCCCCATCCTTTCCCGTCCCGCCCGGTCCCGTCCCATCCCGTCCTTCCCGGTCCCGTCCCGTTCCATCCCAGCCCCCCCCCGGTCCGGTCCCGGTGCCCAGCAGCGGTGTCGGGGCCCAGTCCCGGCTCCGTGCCCCCCTCCCGTGACGGTGCCGCTGCCCCCCGCAGGCCCGGGAGTACTGCCCGGGGGTGAACAACCAGCCCTACGTGTGTGAGACCGGGCACTGCTGCGGAGAGACCGGCTGCTGCACCTACTACTACGAGCTGTGGTGTGAGTGCGGCGGGGCCTGCGGAGGGGCTGGGCGCGGGGCAGGTGGGGGCGGCAGGGACGGGACGGGACGGGATGGTCACCGCGCTCTGCCTCCGCAGGGTTCTGGCTGCTCTGGACCATCCTCATCCTCTTCAGTTGCTGCTGTGCCTACCGGCACCGCCGGGCCAAGCTGCGCCTGCAGCAGCAGCAGCGGCAGCGGGAGATCAACCTCATCGCCTACCACGGTGCCTGCAACTACCCCACCTCCATGATGGATCTCAGTGAGTGCCGCTGCCCCCGCGCGTCCCCGGGGCCCCGCGCTCGGCTCCGTGCTCGTCCCAGTCCCGAGGAACCCCCTGGGGGCAGACGGGGCCGCGGTGGTTTGGGGTGGCTGCGCCCTGCAGAGGGGGTGCGTAGGCTGTTGGGGGCTCCCGTTGCCGTGCTCACCCCGTGCCCCCCGCAGGGATGCTGGCTTCCTTCAAGCTGCCTGCCTACGAGGAGGTGGCCCACCGGCCCAGCACGCCGCCGCCGCCCTACAGCGCCATCCTGGCCCAGCTGAGCGGGCCGCGCAGCCGCCTGGGCTCCAGCAGCCTCACGCTCTCGCCCAGCTCGGAGAACTACACCAGCTGCTCCTGCGAGTCGAGCTGCGTGACGTCCCCCAGCAGCACCTCGCTGTCGGTGCAGGTGACGGACGAGACGGAGCGCAGCCGGGCCAGCACGCCCAGCGAGGAGGGCGGCACCAGCAGCACCGGCACCGGCGCCAGCTGGGAGCTGCCCGAGGAGCTGCCCGCCCGCACGGCCCCGCACAAGCACGCCCTCTTCTCCTCCAACGTGGACTTCTTCGAGGCCGACTGCCACCGCTGCTCGGACATCGAGGAAGGCGAGGAGGAGGAGGGTGGCGCGGCCCCGGAGGAGGAGGAGGGCGGCGAGCACTACCGGCACCGGCGCCTGACCGGCGACTCGGGCATCGAGGTGGGGCGCTGCCAGGAGGAGGAGGGCGGCGAGGAGAGCGAGGGTGAGGCCGTGCGCCTGCTGGGCAAGGCCGGCCCCGCGCCACCCCCGGCCCGGCGCAGCGTCCCGGCCGAGGGGGGCGGCGGGGAGCCGGGCGCTCCCACCCTGCCCGTCTGAGGGGCCCGGCCCGGCCCTGCCGCCTCTCCCGCCGCGCCGCCGCCACCATCCCCCTGCCCGCGGGGCCGGCCCGGTGCCACCCGCGCCTCTCCCCGCCACCACGGCTCGCGCCGCCGCTCCCCGCCTTGGAGCAGCCGGGCTGGGGGCACCGCGGTGCCGAAACCGCCCCTGCTCAGAGGGCCCCGGGTGCGGCAGGGCCGCCTTCCCCCGCCTCCGCTCCCCGCTGCGGCCCCGCAGGCTCTGCCGCCATCCCCGGGCTGTGGACTCTCACCGCGGAGCCCCCGGGATGGCCCCGCCACGGCGCCGCCGTGCCCCCCGCTGTCCCCTCTGAACTGCTTCCAGGGAGCCGGGCCCCGGCCGGGGGGGGCGGCTCTGTCCCCGCCGCAGCCTGCAGGCCTGTGTGCGGGGCCCGAGTAGCGTCCCCTCATCATTAAAGAGATGTGGAATTATGGCCCCGCCGCCTTCCTCTGGGGCCTGGGGAGCGCAGGGTGCTGTGGAGCTGGGGCTGAGCTGTGACACCCCCCCCCGTCCCCAAATCTTTCCCCATGGGCAGGGACACAGCAGCGAGGCGATGCTGCCCCCCTCCTCGCAGCAGGGGAGGACCAGGACAGCTGGAGCCCAGGAGGTGTGGGGGCAGCAGTGCTGCTCACCCGGCCCCCCGCACCCATCCCTGACACAGGCACCGAGGCTCGTCACGGCTGAGGTTTATTGTCGGTGGAGGACTCGACCCCAGATCCGGGGCGCCTCCACCTGCCCCTGAGAAAGCCGGGCCCCCCGTTGCGCCCTGCCCTAGTAGTCCTCGGCCATCACCAGCACCACCAGCGCCGACCAGCCGGTGAAGGGGTGGGAGCCCTGCCCCGCGCCGCTGCTGTCGCTGTAGTGCTCCCAGAGGTAGCCGCTGTCAGCGTACTGCCGGTACAGGTTGGCCACGAGGTTGTGCCGCAGCTCTCGGTACAGCTCCGCCGCCCGCTCCCGGTGCGGCCCCGGGAGGCTGCCGTAGGCGTGCAGCGCCCGCAGCGCCAGGTAGTTGATGTTGACCCAGACGGAGCCCCGCCAGTACGGGGGGTCGTGCTCCGTGTTGCGCTGCATGTACAGGGGGCTGTCGCGGGCGAGTGAGCGCAGCCCGAAGGGCGTCCAGAGCTGCTTCTCGCTGCGCATGGCGGCCAGCAGCGGGGCCAGGCGCGGCGAGTCGGGGGGCAGCAGCTGCAGCAGCAGCGGGAAGAGGCTGACGTAGCCCAGAGCCCCCACGAAGCGGGGCCGAGGCGCCTCGCGCACCACGCGCACCAGCCGGGGTTCCGGGGGGGGCCGCCCGGGGGCCGCCCGCCCCGCCTCGCGCCGCAGCCCCACCGCCCGGCTGTGGTTGCCGTAGTCGGCGAAGGCGCCCAGCTCCTCGGCCCAGTGCAGGCGCTCCAGCAGCTCGCTGTCGCTCAGCGCCCACTGCATGTGCCGGTAGGGCTCCGCCGGCTCCCCCAGCCGCTCGGCCGCCTCGGCCAGCACCTGGGAGGCCAGCGCCATCCAGCAGCGCAGGTCGAGGTGCCGCTCGTCCGCCGAGGGGTGCGAGGCGCGGGGGTAATCGTCCAGCCCCGACGCCAGCGTCTTGGGGTTGAGGAAGCGCTCGGGGTCGGTGTCGCGGCCGCGCCAGCGGAAGGTGTAGGGCAGGGGCCCGGCCTGGGTGCTGTTGTACCACTCGTACCAGGCGCGCAGGCGGGGGAAGAGGCGGCGCAGGTAGGGCAGCGGGGCCGTCCCCAGCAGCTGCTGCAGCGCCAGGAAGAGCGTGGGGGGGTTGGCGGTCTCGCTGTGCTGCACCACGAACTCGGGGGGCACCTTGGCCAGCGCCTCCTCGCCCAGGATCTGCTCCCGCGGGATCCAGCCCTCCGCGTTCATCAGGTCGAACCAGTGCGCGATCACCTCGCGGCTCAGCTCGGGGTCCCAGCGCGCCAGCAGCAGCTGGTGGAAGCCCTCGTCCCAGAGGAAGCCGCGGGGGAAGAAGGAGCGGGAGGGCACGGCGGTGAACAGGGAGGTCTCGGGGTAGGGCACGGGGCGCTCGTGCAGCGGGGACTGCACCAGGGAGCGCCCGTGGAAGTAGCCCATCCCGCCCAGCATGTTGCTGAGGGCGGCCTGGGCGAAGCGGCGCTGGGCGGGCGGGAAGCCCTTGCGCTCCAGGCCGAAGGTCTCCTCGAAGCGCCGCTCGAAGGCGGCCTCGTGCCGCGCCAGCTCCGCCGTCAGCGCCGGCCCCGCCAGCGGCCCGCGCCGGTCCCGCACGCTGCCCGACTCGAAGGTCACCTCCACGCGGGCCGGCAGCCGCAGCGTCACCTGGTGCAGCAGCAGGTGGCTGCGTGGGGCCTCCGCCACTCCCGGCAGCCCGCGGAAGGTGTCCACGGCCAGGAAGCGCTGCCGGGGCCCCCCCGGAGGGGAGAAGACGAAGCGGTCGCTCAGGCTGCTCCGCACCACGTCGGTGAGGCGGTGCAGCCCCGGGCTCCACGCGTCCAGGTAGTGGAAGCTGCAAGCACAGAGAAGTCAGCGCCCTGGCGGCACCCCGGGGACAAGGGGGGGCGCGGACGCCGCGAGGCACCTGCTGTACGTGGAGCCCTCCCCGCTCTCCGAGGTGGGCCTGAGGAAGGTGATCCTGAAGTCCCCCAGCTCCTCGGACGTCCCGCTCACGGCGCCCAGCCGCGTCCTGTCCTCCACGTGCGGCTGCAGCGTCCCCTGCCCGTCCGTGGCCACGTAGAAGAAGAGGGAGACGAGGGAGGCCAGGCTGCCCGCGCCCTGCGGGAGAGGGGACATGTCTGGATCAGGGGGTCCCAGAGCCGCCTGCGTTCCCCTCCTGGGGACGCCGATGTCCAGGGGGGTCGCGGGCGGCAGCACCCACCTCTGGCCGGGCGGTGACGCGCCAGCTCCAGTCCCCGCCGTGCTCCCCGCCGTGCCGCTTGACGAACTCTGTGCGCAGCAGCAGCCCCCGGTCACGCAGCTCCTGCACCCCGAAGTTGTCGCCGTCGTGCCGCAGCCAGCCGTAGCTCGCCAGCCCGTCACCCTGCTCGCACGTGTGCCGCAGGCCGCCCCCCGCCTCCCGCTGCTGCAGCCACATCAGCCCTGGGGGCGCGGGGCGGGGGGCGCTCAGCGGGCTGCCGCTCCCCGCTCCCCGGTCCCCCGGTGCCGACCCCCAACCCCCTCCCCATATTCCCCCCTCCCCTCCGCGTACCGGTGACGACGGCGCGGGGGCTGCGGGTCTTCATGCCGAAGTAGACGTGTGGCCGGTAGGAGCCCCAGAAGCGGCGGGGCGCGGCGCGGGGCCCGGTGGCACCGGGGGGCAGCGCGGGGGGCGCGGGGTGCGGGCTGGCGGCGCGGGCGGCCGCTCGCCACCGGCCCCACTGCCCCAGCGCCGCCACCGCCGCCGCCAGCCCCAGCCCCAGCGCCAGCGCCGCCGCCAGCCCCAGCGCCGCCCGCCCCCCCCGCGCCCCCCGCGCCGCGCCCCGCTCCCGATCCCGCTCCCGGGGCCGCCCCCGCGCCTCCCGCGGCCCCTCCGCTCCCCGCCGCCGCCGCTCCGCCGCCATCGCCGCGCGTCACCGGTCGGGACGGGGGGGGCGCAGAGCCCCGGGGGGGGGCAGCGCCCTCTGCCGGCGCCTCCGGGGGCCGCTGCTCGGGGGGGGGGGCGCGACCGAGGCGCCCCCGGTAGCGGCGGGGCCGGAGCCGCAGACGCAGACGCGCTCGTCCCTGGAAGCCGCTTTTATTGTGCCCGCGCCCGCCCCGCCCGCACCGGCGGCCCCGGCTCCGCGTAGGGGTCCGGGTCCGGGTCCGGGTCTGGGTCCGGGTCCGTTCCCGGGGGAGCCGCGGGGGGGGCCCTCGGTGCCCGGGGGGGCCGTGCCCGGCGCTCACTGCTTGACCTGGCCCCCGTCGCCCTCGCTGACGAAGCGCTTCCGTCCCCTGCGGAGGAGGATGAGGATGAGGATGAGGAGGGGGTGAGGGGATGAAGGCCCCGCCGCCCCCCACCCCCCCCCCCCCCGTGTCCCCGTACCTGGCGGGGCAGGCGTCGCGCAGCGCCCTGGTGATGATGCCGCGCTGGAAGCAGAGCTCCACCAGCCGCTCCAGGAGCCCGTGCGCCAGGGGCACGTCCAGGCTGATGTCCCCCAGCTCCGCGTACACCCGCTGGAAGCCCTGGGGGTTGCGGGGACACTGCAGGTGTCAGCCCTGGGACCCCCGCCCCGCACCCCCCGGCCCCCCCGATGGTTGCCTCCGCGCTCACCCGGTTCATCTGGTCCAGCGTCACCAGCCCCGTCTCCCACAGCACCTTCAGCAGCGTCACCATCATTGTCACCGGCGCATCCCCAGAGCCCTCCAGCACCATCACCACCGCCTGCGGGCAGCGGGCGTCAAGCAGGGCCATGGAGCACCCCCGGCACCCCCAGCCCCCCCAGCCCCTCACCTCGTACACCAGCTCGTGGTGGAAGTGCGGCACCTCCAGCGCCCGCAGGCAGCGCTCGGCCTCCGACACCTCCCCGGAGAGCAGGTACTCCCGCAGCAGCAGGTTCATCTGGGGACAGAGACGGCTGCTGGTGGGGACAGTGGGGACACAGCAGGGGATTTATGTGGGGACAGCTGGGAACGGGGTCCTGATGTGGGGGTGGCACTGGGACAGCTGGGGGTGCTGCTGGTGTGGCAGAACAGACGCGGGGACACGAGCAGTGGATGCCACGGGGGCGTGCAGGTCCAGAGGGGTGCGGCGGGGGATACGCAGGGCACGTCTGGAGCCATGGGCAGGGCTGAGGGGACGAAGCGCGGGGACATCCGCAGGGAGGGGGCACGGGCAGGACCGGGGGACGCGGAGCGGGATGCACGCGGGGCCGGCCGCGCGCTGACCTCCTTGACCAGGTGCTTGACGGGGCGCTGGCCGCCCCCCACGCCCCAGACGTTGTCGAGCCGGTTGACGTCGCGCTTGATGCGCAGCAGGACGGCGGCGCGGTCGAGGGCGGCCCTGCGGAGGACGGGGTGAGGGCCGGGCGCGGGGCGGGCAGCGGGGGCCGGGGCGGCGCTTACCTGGCGTGCTCGCAGTCCACGCGCCCCTTGTAGCGCTCCAGGAAATCCAGGGGCAGCGCGTGGTCGGCCACCGCCCGGGCGATGAACTGCCCCAGCATCTGGGGGCACGGTGTCAGCGCGTGGCCCACCGCCAGCGTGGCCACGTTCCCCCCCGGCACCCCCTGGCACCGCCGCCCCCCCCATCCCGGCACAGCCACCTCCCCTCGGCAGCCCCGGCATGGCCGCGTCCCCGCGCCCGCTGACACCTGGGGGGCCTCGGGGGTGTCGAGGATGAGGTCGGGCAGGTCCTGCAGCATCTTGTCGAAGGCCCAGGCGATGTCCTCGGGGCTCACCACGCGGCCCACCAGGTCGGACAGCAGGCGGGATGTCAGCTCGCGGTGGCTGGCCTTGCCCTCCAGCGCCAGCGCCACCGCCAGCGAG